TTAATCGATTCTGCTAATGATGTGTACATTCATATTAATGAAAAAGCATTATTTACTTGGTATGCCATTCAGGGGCGTCGCTAGACCTTTTTCGGTGGGGGGGGGGGGGGTTGTAGAGGCCAACGATTACCGACAAAACTAGCAACCATTACCGACAAAATTAAATGTCCCAATATCTACAAATTTAACCCTATAAACCCAGGGCCGAAGGCTAAATTGTTTTTCCTATGGACTATCTATAGTACTTACGTATGCGAAAATTGTCATTTTTCTTGACGACATAAATATACGAATTATTTCGTCAACTTAGTCAGCGTCATAGCTATATATATTTTAATGCAGGCGCGGAGCTAGTATCTTATTTTGGGGAGGGGCGGTAGTGAGCAAGCGAATCACTTAAAGAGCGGTGTGGTTGATAGGCCACCCGCGCGAAGCGCGGAAGCTTAATAATAATAATAATATTGGATTCTTATATAGCGCACGTATCGACCTTGCAAGGTCCTCAAGGCGCCCCAACATACAACAGCTTAGACGTTTCCTTAAATTATTTGGAAAAGAAGGCGATTTATTGCACCGTTCTCGACTGTTAATCCTTGTCTGAATGACGTTCCCCCTCCCCCTTCCGCGCAAAGCGCGAAAGTTTATCGTTTCATTGAATTATTATAAAAAGAAGACGATTTGCCGTACCGTTCTCGACTGTTAATCCTTGTTTGAATTCAGTTTCTACCCCTCTTCGACGTTTCATTAAATTATGAGAAAAATCAGACGATTCAGTGTACTGTTCCCGACTCTTTGTCTGAATGAAGTTACCCCCTCACGCGCGAAGCGCGGAAGTTTTTACGTTTCATTAAATTATTAGAGAAAGAAGACGATTCGTTGTACCGTTTTCGACTCCTATTAAGCCCTAAGTTTCTGAATTCAGTTCCCCCTTTAGCGCGAAGCGCGGAAGCTTTGACTTTAAATTATTAGAAAAAGCAGACGATTCGTTGTACCGTTTTCGACTATTAATCCTTGTTTGAATTCAGTAACCCTCTTCCCGCGCGAAACGCAACAAGCTTAGACGTTTGATTTAATTATTATTGAAAGAAGACGATTCGTTGCACCGTTTTCGACTCTTCTTAGGCCTTTTCATCTGAATTCAGTTTCCCCCTCTCGCGCGAAGCGCGGAAGCTTAGACGTTTCCTTAAATTATTAGAAAAAGAAGACGATTGGCGTTGTACCGTTCTCGACTCGTCTAAATGAAATTTCCCCCTCCCATGCGAAGCGCGGAATTTTTGGCGTTTCATCAAAATATAGAGAAAGGAAGACGATTCGTCGTATCGTTGTTGACTCTTAATCCTTGTTTGAATTTAGTTTACCTGAAAATGTGAACCTCTGACTTCTTTAGCTGATATTATAGGAAAGTGAAACTTCGAGAAAATACAAGTAATGTAGTTGTAGTCACTCTCGAATTCGTCACAGCGGATAAAAAGTCACAATTCGTAAGGAAAAAAACTTGTCGGCCGACCGACAATATACATCTCACCGACTTCAAACATTGATATAGTACACGAGGATCGAGCAAGAATACCGACACAGCTGACCCGACACAGCAAAATATTTACCCGTGTCTTTCTTGCTCCCTCGACGAGACGACTCCACCCAACAACCCCCTCTCTCTTTTACTCCCACTTCTCCTCTATCAGGCTCTTACTCCCCTCTCTCTCCTCTATTTCATCCCCTTTTTCTTTCGTTTCCTTTTTCTTCTTTTTTTTCCTTTTTTTTTTCTTTCTTTCTTTTTCTCTCTTTTTCTTTTTTTCCTTCTTTCTTCTCTTTTCTTTCCTTTCTTTTCCTTTCTTTCCTTTCTTTTCCTTTCTTTCTTTTCTTTTCATTTTCTTTTTTTCTTTTCTTTCCCTTTCCCTCTCTTTTTTCCCCTCCCCCTTTTCTCTTTTTTCCCGACGGCAGCGCAATTTGACCGACAATATCCTGACAGGTGGGGGGTGTCGCACCCCACACCCGCCCTTTGGAGACACCCCTGATGACATTGATAACAAAAATACGATTCTTCTTAAAGGAAACCTAAACCCAAAGAATAAGTGTAGGTATTCTGAAAAATGAGATGTATTCATGCCCTTTGATGTTCAATATTCCTTACGAAAATGTACAAGATACATATAAATGAAGATATTCTGCGCATGATGTGATGGCTTTCAGCATAACATGGGCGCAGCCATTTTTTTGAAAATGTGACGTACCTGTTGAAGTTGTACATGTATCATGCACCAAGCTTTAGTTGGAAAGAATTTTTATTTCAATAACGAAGCCTTTACTTTTCGATGAACAAAAATAATAACTGAGATGATAGAAATAATATTAGGTGAAAAATAAATAACAGGGGCACAATTGTAACAAAATTAATTTATAAATACTACACTATAGCAGTTGACAAATCCATTTTATTTATGAGAAATCTTCACCCCGGAAGAGCACTAACTTATTTATGCAATTTGCATTCTGGCAATTGTAGTACAAAGGATAATAGCAGGTGAATGAAATGCTTCATCACTACACACGTCTGGGAAAGAAGCATCCATAAATTGGAATGCATTTACTTGATAAACGACTTCGAATAGTACGTTACATTATCAAGAAAATGGCGATGCACATGTCGTGCTGAGAAACTGTACTTTATTTTTGCTTTATACCTCTATCATACACTTTGGTGGGGAATCTTGTAGATTTATGGGCAATAATTTAATAAATCTCTCAGAAAAAGTAGAATTATTACTTGGGGTTTGGTTTCCTTTAACATTATCTTATGGTTTGCTCAATATAAAATTTATAAGGTGAATGTTTTAAATAATTTGAAATGCAAACAGTTTAATTTAGTTATTATGTAATTTCTAAAATTTAAAAGAGATCTAAAGGAGAACTTGAAATACAACGTAAACTTAGACTTTCATGTAAAAAAAAAAAGATATAACGACTGTTGCCTAAGCGATTTAAAACGAAAGTATAGGCCCAATTTAAAAAAGACACAAATATTTTTTTATTTTTTGGGAAATCTAGAATTGCGATTATTTCTTTCTTTTTTTAATTTGTCTCTCTCTCTTTTTTTCTTCTTGCGATTTATGTAATTTTTCTGTTTGGGTCTATCACTTCTTCTTTCACTACTACATGGATTCACTCAGACGTGTACGCAGGGGGGGGGGGGGTTAAGGGGTTAATATTGGTCGGCGCGATTTTCGAATTTCCGGGAAAAAAATTAGTGCTCCCCTCCCCAGGGGATCCAGGGGGCGAGCGGGCCTTGCCCCCCCCCCCCCCACCCCCGAAAAAAGAGAGAGAGAGAGAGAGAGAGAGAGAGAGAGAGAGAGAGAGAAGGAAAAGAAGGGAAAGAGAAGGGGAAAGAAAGAAGAGAAAGAAAAAAAAGAAAAGGGTGAAAAGAAGGTGAGAACAATTGCGGTTTCTTTTTTCTGTTTTCTTTTCAATTTCATTTTATTGTTCATATACAACACATTGATACATTCAGGTTCAGGTAATTTAGTGTAGACACAAAGGAAATGCATCAAATGAAGTTATATACTTGCCTTTGACTAGTTCACGACAAACCATTCACTTATAAAACATTTAAATTACTATACCACGTAATTGCTATTGGTGATTTGTGTACGACACATACGGAGGACTTAATATAGAATTATAAAGTCAAATTAAAAATATAAAAGTATTTGCATATACAGCAAACATTGACGGAGCACAGAGTGCAAAATGCTTGAATGTTTTCAAACAACCTTAACCAGGATATATCACATGTGTTCATTGAAAGTACCAGTATCTTTTCAGATCACGGAAATAAGGAGGAATAAGATATTTATAAGTTTGGATATTCATTAGTTCATTTACCAGCTGCTGTTTTCACCTTGTACATACAACATGCAGATGGTTTTTAGTGGTGTATCGAACTCTGTCTAATGTATTTATTTAATGAATTCCGTTTTATTACAATGGTTATTGTAAACTCGTTCAGTTTTGTTGCAAAAAAGAAAAAAGGGGAAAAAAGAAGGGGAAAAGAAGGGGAATCACTAAGCGCTTCCAAACTTGGAGATTATTACCCCAGCTAGCTTTAGCTATGCTGCCATTGCGGCGCTCTAGCATTGGCCTATGATTTAATGAAACGTAAAAGCTTCCGCGCTTCGCGCGGGAGGGGGAAACTGTATTCAGACGAGGACTATTTTCGAGAACGGTACAACGAATCGTCTTCTTTCTCTAATAATTTAACGAAACGTCAAATCTTCGGCGCCTTGCGGAGGAGGGAGGGGGGAAATCCCCTCCCTGCACCCCCCCCCCCCCAATTACGTCAATGCTGGTCACCACTTCGTACCAACATTTGGCTTGCATAATTTTCAAATTTGGCCCCCCCCCCCCCCTAAGAAATCCTGGATCCGCGCCTGGGTATACAAATTTTTTCTTTCGTAATCCAAAAATTGCGATTCTTTCTTTCTCTCTTGAATGTTTCTCTTTTTTTTTTTTCTTTTTTTTTCTTTGTTTGAAAACTTTTTTCTGTTTTCTTGCGATTTACTTTTTTCTGTTCCGATCTATAACTTCTTCTAACAATAGTTCATGGATTCACTATGTGTTTGTTTTTTCCTGTTTCTTTCTTCCTTTATTTCTTTTTCACCTTTCATCATTTTGCCAAATTATCTTTTTGTCTCAGAACTGCAGCGTTGCTGCGGATGAAGGTGTGTTGCATTCAGTGTTTCTTATTGGTCGAAATGAATAGCCGTCGTCAAATTTTGTCTAGTCGCTAAGGTTTATTTTTGTTTGAATCATTATAAAATACTAAAAATGTGATGACAAATGCAACAGATGAAGGGCCTATTTTTGTTTTAGATATACTATTTGATTTACAGAATTCAATTTCGATCTATATTCATATTCATAATGAAAATAATGTAATTTTGACATTAATTGTATTCACAAGCAATTATTGAAGTCGTTTGAAATGAAGGCTATTGATCATATGACGTCATTGATTAGATTGCGTAAAAAGAAAACCTACTTCGTCAGAGTGATCATATCTACGACTGAATAATAGAAATAATGGCCGTCCGGAGAATTTTAACATCCGATTTACTGAGGAAACTAGTTCAACCAGTTGTTTTTTTACCATGTAGATCCTTAGGAACGCTACCAGCAACTGAATGTATCCTTTATTTATAAACAAAGATCTCTGATGTAATAGCGGTTTTATAATACATTGTACCACATACTTATATTGTTGTCATGGTACGGTATCTGATCGCGCGCCGTATGTTGTGTGCTAAAAATAAAATCCCCTCATAGAGTAGATGCTGTGGTTTGCGGCATGGAATAGACCACAGAAAAAAATACATGCAAATCAATAATATGCGATTGAAACCTACCGTGGCTTCCCCGGTAGGTTCTGCTTTGCCGAAAACGTCTGTAGCAGATGCTCCGATCGGTACGGAGTATCCGTCAGCGTTGCCGGAAATCTACGACACCAGTCGGCGATAAAAATTCCAGCAGGTGCTAACTTTTAAGTTAAGAGATCGAGTCATGCCTAGATCAATATTGCAGCTCTCTTTGTCTGATTGGAGGTGAAATTTGATGTTGTTGTGGAAGTATGATGGCTGTGGTCTGTTTCCTATCGCAGAAATTTTGATTGTGCCACCGCGCCGCAGGGCTAGTTTCATGGGGAGGCCGCAAACCGAGTCGTAATTGCGTGCCTGCCTCGTGTGCGGCCGGGGGTGTCAATACACACATAACATGCAGGCTTGTGTACGATGGTATGTGTGCTGATGTGTGTACCCGCTATGACCTGCTAGTTTCTAGGAGTTTGTACCCCGTTCCTCCCTAGTTGGGATGATCTATTCAAGGAAAAGGTGAAATTGTTTAAAACTTGACAAAATTACCGTAACAACAGATAAACATGAGAATTTGGGTTACCCGTAGTAATTTGGTACATGCTTTGATTGTGACGTTGCGCATAAAGCTTTGTGACGCAATGCGTGCCAGCCATGCCGCCCGCCGGGAAATGCATGGCCGCACTCAGGGCAACTCGAAGCATTTCGAAAGTGGACAATGCTGACCACGCGGTGGGTCAGTTAGGTTATTTGTGCCTTCTATTTAATGAGGAAGTATATGGACTCTACATTGAGGGTATTGCAGTATGCTGTGAGTATTTGCATAAAAATAAAATCGGCAGTTCCCGCGGATCGGCCGCAGACCGGAGCCTCTACTCTAGATCTAGAGCCTAGGCAAATTCATACCAAAAAAAATATTCACAAAATTGACTTGAAAACACATCAGACAATTAGTATGAACCACGTCAGCAGCTAATTTAAAGAAATTATCTTTTTAATTGTTGTAGAGTAAGACCGCCAAACTTCGGACACTTAACCCTTACTGTACTGGGGGGGGGCCTGGGAGGCCCCCCCCCCTCGACATTTTCGGAGTTTGCGCCGCAACCGCTTGGAATTTTGAATTGTCGTTTCATGACTTTTTTCCCTCAAGTCTCACGCACATTTTGATACCATTTTCGTCGATATACCTGTAAGGCGTTACATAACAATTAGTATGCGCATGTCATCAAAAAAAAAAAATTGCATCAAAATTTGCATAAATTATCATTATTAATTACATTAAATTAACTTTTTTGAGTTAAAAAAGAAGTTTCAAATGAATAATGAGTTTCAACATTCAAAAAGTGGAGTTTGAAACGTTTTCTGTAAAATGCATAAAATTAGCATTTTTGCATAATTAATTAGGCTAACGACAAAAATTTGCATATTCGGAAAAAAAAAATTATACCATCTTGTTCCTTACGTAAATATCTACAAACGTGCAAATTTTCGTGTTCATCGGACAATCGACGGCCGAGATCATAGGGGGGGCCTCCCAGGCCCCCCCCCCCCTCCCCCAGTCAGTGGGTGCTCAAAATAGCCCAGTACAGTAAGGGTTAAGACATAACGGGGGAAAACATTAAATTCTTTTTTAATTATTGAAAGACCAAATATACTATTATTGTGCAAATACTGTTTATGTTTGTCATGTAAAAGAAAATTAGCAAAGGAAATGGAAAACTAGAATTATTTAATTACCCGCCGAACCTTTTTTCATTCCAAACTTTGGACGTTCATGTGAATTCCAGACAACTCGCCACAAAGACAACCCGCCCCAAAACAACTCGCCACAATACCCTGGACAACTCGCCCATGGCGAATTGTCCAGGGTATTGTGGCGAGATGTCCAGGGTATTGTGGCGAGGCGAGTTGTCTGGACCCTGTTTATGTGTAGCGCACGTATAGCGCATAGCGCATGTATAGCGCGCCCGCTAAAGTGCGCATTCATCAGAGGTTTGGAAACCAGATCAAAAATTGTACGACGGGGGTAAATTTGACTGCGTTGATTTCATGAAAAAGAGTATTATTTTCTTGTTTTGGGTAGATTTAAGTTTGGTAAAACTATCAAAAAGGTGTATTTCACAACACTCACACAATATTTTGGTGCTAAAATCTTACGAAAACGCTACTTTTTCGTAGTCAAAATAACACTCAATGTTGCCTGTCCGAAGCGTGGAAGAGCGCCATCTTCCAGTAGGGGAGTCTGTTTATACCCCTAGCTCCGTGGTAATGGCCGCCATTAGAAAATTTTCGCAATAGTGTTAAAAAGTATCTCATAAGCTCCCATAATTTTGGCAGAAACCACCTGAAATATGCCAAGGATTTGATTGTAATCGATATATTGGAGGCTCTACACCTTAACTCCCCTGTTAACGAACTGTAAAAATCTAGGTAACCTGAAATCTGTCTCTGAATTCGATGTTTGTTGTGAGTTTTGCAGACGGCAACCTGCCCTAACTTTCTGTACTAACGATATACATGTAGGTTAGTGGTAGTATCAAATGCATGCAAGTTACATGTACCTGCCTGAGCTAGGCTCATATTTTGCGTTCGTGCCGTTGAAGTAATTTTGTCCAAAGTTTGGCAACGTCCGAAGTTTGGCAGTCTTACTCTACAACCAAAGAAATAAGAAAACTGACCAAGAAGTAACCGTACTAAAAATCGTGCCTCGCACACACACTCTCGCCATACCACGATTGGTCCATGGTGGGAAGCTAGCGGGCTGGGAGTTTGCCACGAGACCAATGCAGCTTCGGAGATACGCAGCGCGCAAATTTACCGGGACTCGATAGGTTAGCAGTGGGAAGGTAACAGGCTAGCTTTTTGCCAAAACAACGCTAGATTGGCTGCTGGCAAAATGAAAGTAACTACGATCGAGAACATCTTCGGTGTTCTTAACTTTTCAGTAAGATAATTCTGAATTCTAATTGAGACTATATAATAAATTAAACCAACAAACAAACCTTGGTAGATCTCTAATAACTATACAAAAGCTTGTTTATTTCTCCATTTGACATTTTGTTTTCTCCCATTTGTTCATGTGCGAGTCAAATAAGGCTGTGCACAACCGTGTAATGAGGTACCCGAGTACACTCCCAGGCTTACAAGCGAATACTCGAATATTTTTTTTTTTTTAATAATTTTTTTTTTTTTGGCCACCACCATACCACGGAAGCAGTATCCCAGGTCCGTCTCCGAAAACTCATGCAATTTTACTTTGAGTTGCAGTTGAAGGCGCAGATTTAATAATAATAACAACAGTAAACAATGCTGTTTTAAAAACCAAAGATGGCAGAATAATCCATTTTCCTCCGAGTCCAAACAGAAATCCGGACATTTGGTCCCAGTCTCTGAGTGGTGAGTTTGAAAGTGATTGAGCTGACTGAGTGATTTACCGACGGTACCATGCCAGCGGCAGTCACTATTTTTTTTTTTTTTTGCGGCCGAATATTCGAGTATGAGAAATCGTACTCGAGTAGTTGTCAACAGTGCGGGTACTCGAGCATTCGACTACTCGTCGCAGCCCTAGAGTCAATGCAACCTATGTAGACTATGACTTAACTTCCAACACGCAAGGAACAGGGAACACTCGCAGACCTTGTATCAAATTTGTTGCAACAAAAAAAAAATTGATTTTGAAGCAATGAAGAAAATTAGCGCTGCGATGCGCAGAAATAAACTTGAAAGAAACTTTAAAAATCACACCTGAATTTTCAGAAAATCGTATTTGTATTACTGTGCCTAGTTGTCATTTATTTATATCCCAGACTCTTGGCAGATTTGTCAGAAAAAAATGTCATTTTTTCCGTTTTGTGGTCATTTCTAGGCTAATATTTAAAAATCGAGATTCAAACCTTTATTTCTTGTGATCCTGAAGGTGATACTCAAGAAATGAGGTGTCATATGAAAGAGCAGATTAATCTCCATATTTCCAAAGGGGTGTCATCTCGGAATTCTAAAAATATCTTGGTCAAAGCAGGGATTCAAATGTTGTTCCCATCCCAGCTCCGAAATTAGCCACTTTTTAGAAATGACTCCCAGACCGATAAGTAGTCCCAGTCGTAAGGAATATATTCATGCACTTATTTTTTAGCTAGGCCCATGGGATCACAAGTTATTACAGTTTGAAAGTACCCTTCCCGTATTAGCTAAGTAGCGAGGCGTGAGCTCTGCTCAGCCCAAACCCATGGTGACCACGCGTAGAATCTGCACATGCATGCATTCGGACACACATGCGGTATCGCGTGTGTGTTTGTGAATTGCCATACGGACCCGCACACGGAAGACCATGAAGGTGGAGCTTGCGAACGCGTCCAAGTAGCGCATACAGCTACATGTATTAAAGCAACAGGAATGTGCTTGCATATTGCGCAATGCCGCTGTTTTGCTACATTTAGCAAAACAAAATAACTCTGCATGTACGTCTTTTTTGTCGATTCTGACAAAAATTGAATGAATGTTGCTTAGATTTTGGGGGCTGTATCTTTTGATAGAAACATCGGTGAGTCTTGAAATTTGAAATGTATTATATTTCAATTATCCAACCATAATGGTGAAAAATGATCCCAAAGGGAAAATTGAAAAATCGTTCAGACACCCTAGTCATGGTTTAGAGGGATGGGCTAGCATAGACATTGCATCAGCAGCATTATTGTATTTATGGATGGGAGGAGCTAGGAGATTGTTTTTTAGCCAAGATATGAAAATTGTATTTGAAATGATGTGAAATCCAAGCTTTCAGAATTTGTTCTCTTTTATATTTATATTTATATTTATGTGATGTAAAGTTGTAAACAAATGTAGAATCTAATGAGTAAATACTAACGTTTCAGATTTGTTGACCAATTTATTCTCAATCTCAGAGACTCGGGAAAGACTCAGCAAATTGATGTTAGTTAGAACTTTGCAAAGTATCACAATTTCTTGTGAAAGATTTAAAAATAAGTTTTACCGGTATATTTTTCATCAGTGTAATTTTTTGATTTCATATCTTTCCCCAATATTCCAAAGCATTTTTTTCTTCTATTTTCTAAACCCATTTCCATTCCATTCTCTCATTGTACCTGTATGTCCGAAACATGATCTGTAAAATCTGTTAAAAATATTCCATCAAATTTCTTTTGAAGAAAATTCAATGTTTTGCACTACTTTGTGTAATATGGCTATTATTGGCATATATATATTTTTTAATTATTTGTACCACCCACAAAATTGCAACAATTATAGTTTCCTTAACTCCGCATGTTTCTTTTGATGATAGCTGTTGCAAGGTCAGATTCTAGTGATAAAAAAAGTGGAGGAAAGGTGGAGTTCAACTGGAAAGATGCCCTCAATCTGGAGAGCCAGCTGACAGAAGAAGAGATCATGGTTCGGGATCAGTTCAGAGTTTACTGCCAAGAGAAGCTCATGCCTAGGATCCTAATGGCAAATAGAAACGGAGGTAAATAGTTGTTTAGAACAGGATGATAGCAGGTCAAGGCACCAAATAGAGTCATATCCTGAGATTATGATTAGTTTTCATTATAGCCTCATGACCAAGAATTGCTTGTTACTATTCATTTAAAAATGGCAGGACCTTGAATTTCTAAAAAATGGAGTCGAGACTAAGTGACTCAATTTTGGTTTAGAAGCCAATGATATGAAAGACTTTAAGAATGGTGCATGTTTTAAATGTTGATCGATCTTTTTATTTCAAATAAAAAATGTACAAATCATTCTTAAGGTATAATTTGTAGAGCTTTAAAGATAAAGACCAGTTTTGGAAACGCCCCCTCTCAAAAAATGAAATGGAAGCTCTTATTACCAATCATTTGAAAGAATGTGTTTTGATACAAATTTTGCCGAGAAGCCGCCTCCTAATTGATGTATTTGGTAAATTAGTATATCTACATGTATCTGGACCGGATAGATATCGTGAATGTGTTGCGTAGTCCCATATACATCTTTCTGTGTACAGTGCTTGTAACTTTACCAAGACTTGGGCAAATTTCTTATCATTTTGATGATTCCAGAACCTTGCAGTACACACCAATACTTATATGCTAGATGATCAACCTTTTCTGATGGATTCTACAACGTTTCTTTCACAATGCAATCGCATGCCAGAACTGATCTTTATCTTTAAATATAAATTCTTTTTTCTTACCCTTTCAACCTGTGCAGTGTTTGACCGAGATATCTTCCATGAGCTTGGTGCTCTAGGAGTTCTTGGGCCAACCATCAAGGGCTACGGGTGTGCTGGGGTATCGTCTGTTGCTTATGGGTTACTTGCCAGGGAGATAGAGTATGTAGATAGCAGCTACAGGTCAGCTTTCAGCGTCCAGTCTTCGCTCGTTATGCATCCTATCAATGAGTATGGGACAGAGGCACAGAAAGAGAAATACCTACCAAGACTGGGTAAGGATGTATAGAGAGAGATAGAAAGAGAGCGTGGGAGAGAGAAAGATAAAGATATGTTTGAAGAGAGATGGAGGGGAAGAGAAAAAGAATGCAACATAGAGAGAAACACATGGAGAATATAAATACTGTCGGACATAGAGAGAGAGAGAGGGGGGGGGGGTAGTGAAGAAGAAGAAGAAAAAGAAGAGAGAGAGAGAGAGAGAGAGGGGGGAGGGGAGTCAGTGAGAGTGAGAGACAGAGCAGGAGCATGCAGGGTCTGTAACAGGGCTGAACATTACTTTTCCTAAATAAAATAATCATGGAAATCTTGCTTCTTAATAACGAATTTGAGCAACCCATTTCAACTGCATAAAACAATTTGTTTCAATGGGAATGAACCTACCCTTGGAACAACATGGGTTACCAGTAATATAGCGCATACATGTAGCCTGTCATATTGGACTTCATCAAGAATGCACACTTTTTCAGGAAGCTCTCACAGCATTCACACTTCACAGGACTTAACAACCTTATTCTTTGTCTCTTCTTCTCTACTATGCCATACAGCTTCTGGAGAGCTAATTGGAGCCTTTGGACTGACTGAACCCAACCATGGCAGTGACCCAGCAGGTATGGAGACCAAGGCAGTCTACAATCCGTCATCAAAGACATACACTCTTAATGGAGCCAAGTCATGGTATGTATCCATCCAGGGTAGTATTTCTTATTCTAGGGGATGTGATCCAAAAGCTGAAAACGTGACATTGTGCTGCACATATGAATGAGAAATTGATACATTGTACATGATAAATCACTTTTACCCTACTATGAACATTTATGTTGATCAAATAGAAATGAATTATCTTAGCAGGGAGAGAATTTTTCTAGAGGCAAATATAAAGTAGACATAACAAATATTATGCATTTGAAATGATCTTAATTAAACCAAGCACTTTTGTATCTCGTTACTTAGGATCACTAATTCCCCAATCGCTGATGTGTTTGTGGTGTGGGGCAAGAACCACGAGGAAGGTGGCAAGATCAGAGGCTTCATCCTAGAGAAGGGAATGAAAGGTCTTTCTGCTCCTTACATCGATGGCAAGTTCTCCCTGCGTGCTTCGGCCACGGGACAGATTGTGATGGAAGATGTGGAGATCCCAGAAGAGAACATGCTGCCTAATGTCAAGGGCCTTGGGGTGAGTAGTCTTGACCTTTGACCCCTTACTCCTAGTTACGCTAATACACCAGTTTACGGTTATAACAGTGCGCATGCGCTGACATGGGTGCCATTTTAACTTGCGGGTAACTTGCGAGTAAACAAACCACTGACCTCTAGAGGTCAGTTTACACGTAAATTAAGACGCGCCCATGCAAATATGATGTGAGCGCACAGTGCAGGCAGTGATGCAACAATACATGCACATCTGAAAACATTGATGACACTGCCTGCGCTGTGCGCTCACATCATATTTGCATGGGCGCTATCTTATTTTACGCGTAAACCACTGACCTCTAGAGGTCAATGGTTTGTTTACCCTTAAATTAAAATGTCGCCCATAACCGTAAACTGGTGTATTGTTATAAGTTACTGAAATCCTAGCATTTGATTGGCTGTGAGCAGATCTGTCATAGATCTGTGGCAGTTGTTATTAGTAACAAGTTTTTATGAAACAGGGCCCTGCTGAGGATGTTTGATACTGGAGCACTCGGAGCTCATGTTCAGTCCTGCTCGTGCATGCTAATTATTTTGATGATAATAACAACTGTTTTTTTATATGGTACCTTTATATTTACAATGTAAGTTATGTAACCGACCAAAGTGCTTTTAGTTTCGTTACCATGGTCACTGGATTCAGTTGCAATTCTGCACTGTACAGCGCTTAACCCTATTTAGCCCGGGGGGGGGGCTTTAGAAGCCCCCCCCCCCCGACATTTTTCGCGATTATTTTTTAACGCAAGAAAATCTTGCACTGAAATTTTGTGACTTTTTTCTTTGAAATCTTGCGCATCTTTTGAAAGAATTTTTTTGAAAATCGGACCTACCATTACAAAGTCACGTGTCCTTTTGTCTTTGCATGTCAGCCCGAAAATCGCTCATTTTTGTGATTTGTGTACAAAACATACTGAATTCTCATCTTTCAAATAAAGAGATAAAACATTGGTTATTTGGTCTTGTTTATAGTTTAGGTGTTTATTTTGGGTTCAAAATAGTTGAATTATAGTTGGAAATTAAATAAAACAACAAAAACAATAAAATACATAAGTTAAAAAAACAAAGAAATACATAAGAAATTATCAAAACAATAGATAACATAAGGAATAACCCTGGTTATTCAATTTTTTGTGTTGTATTATTATTCCAAATGGTCTAACAAATATATGTAGTGAAAAAGAATGCTTAAATAAGAATAATGTCTGATTTATGTGCAAAAATGTGAATTCTATGACCTTATTTGCATAAATTACCATAAATATGCAAATGAGCGAATTTTTCAAAAAATTGAAATTACCATAGTATTCTATACACTTCACTTGACATGTATGCAAATTTTCGCGGCGATCGGTCGTTTCACGGCCAAGATCATAGGGGGGGGGCCGTAGAAGCCCCCCCCCCCCCCTCCCCGGGCTATGCAGTTTCAAAATAGCCCGGGCTAAATAGGGTTAAACCCCACTCCACTGAGGAACATTCTAGCTAATCCCATTTTCACAGGTTGTGATTTATTGAAAGACAAAGAGTTATGTGAACTACCTAACAAATTGAACGGGCTCTCTAGTTGTGGTAATGAGCCATCATCGAAAGTAAAGACATGCAGTCCTTTATTCATCATGATCCCTCATACTCCGATAGTGCACCTGAGAGCAATCGTAAGTTCACGCATTATTACAAGTTTGTTCATATTTGCAGGGTCCGTTTGGTTGTCTGAACAATGCGAGGTACGGCATCGCATGGGGCACGTTGGGTGCTGCTGAGTTCTGCCTGGAGACAGCAAGACAGTACACACTGGACAGGTAAGTTTTTAAAAAATGTGTGTGTGTGTATTGGGCTTTTACAGACGTGTATGAATCGGATATGATTGTTTACGTCTGGGGACTGACCTTTAAACGTCACCATTCAAAAGACGTGACTCAGTTTCGAAACCTGCGTCCTCAGCTGAATCAGTTTGTAACTTCCATTGTTAGCTAGATTACAGGCGCATGCCACAACGCCTACCGTAGTCTGAATTTGGTGTGGTTTTTCCTCATCCTCTCCTATTTTGTTGAATGATGTTTCTATGAAATTTGTGTATTTTTTTCTGGTAGTTTTTATTCTTTAATTACTTGAACACATAAATATAATAGTCAGTTTGAGGACAATCTGTATTTCTTTTTTTAATTTGAGTTTTATAATTTTTAAATTTTGTGTAGAATTTTTTTTTTTTTCAATTGACATAGATGTGTATGATTTGAAGGCTGTGAAATTAGGCAAGGTGGTAACTTGAGCACTTTTTAAGGCTGATTGGTCATGATATTGTTTCATTCCCTTGATAGAGTGTAACAATCAAATATCTACTTCATCCCTGGGCAACTCTTGTAGAATGCCTATATGATCATATAATAATAATAATAATAGCCTAATAGTCCACTCCAAATTTTATTAAACCAAAACTGAAATTCTTTTTGCCTAATTGATCGTGAGCCCGGCAGCCACTGAGCAGCGCCAGATCGAGTTGTGATTGATAAGGATTGATTGCAAGACAGGGCGCTGGAGTGACTTTTGTTTGACTATAATGTCATCTTGCCTTCCCAGGGTTCAGTTCGGCTCACCGTTGGCCAGGAATCAGTTGATGCAGAAAAAGATGGCTGACATGTTGACAGAGATCTCCCTTGGACTACAATCATGTATTCAGGTTGGAAGACTCAAGGATCAAGGAAAGTGAGTACAAAGTTTAGATGTAATTTTAGATCTTGCCTGATGACGAAATACATGTAGTTCATAAACAAATCTGGTTATGTATGGCTGATGGGATGACAGTCTAACAAGTAAAGAGGCATTGACATGAAATGAATTAATTCAGGTCGCTTGGTATAATCCTTTTTTGAAATTTTCCTGACAATGTTTAAGAATAGGCTCATCAAAATGTCCAAAATCAGAGCTCATGCCTGATTTCACAGATTTTTTAAGGGTTTCTTTTTATTCAAAGGATGAATACCATAACAAATTTCTTAAAGAAGATAACTTTTCTTTTCTCTGTTCTCAAAACCCAATATGTGACACCAAGTAAACAAACAGCCATACTATTTGAACAGATAGGTACCTGTACCTGTTCTTTTTTGGGAAGTAAAAAACTAATTATTCCTTCTCCTAAAATAAATAATGTCTAGATTCTTGAGTTGGACTTTCCTCCTACAAGAAAGTGATTTAACCTGATTCATGCAAACAGTCTAAAGAAACTTCCAGCAATGATTATTACTATGCTTTACAGTCCTCAGATTTCTTTCATTTAACCCACTGCCGACACAAATCAGGCAGTTCCTGTATGTAGCTTCTGGGGATGAGAGAATTATGTTGACAATGGATTGATCGAAATGCTGTATTTTGCAGTTTCTTTCTTTCATTAATTCTTTAATTGTTGGCAATTGTTGCCTACAGCACGAGAAGGATTAATCAATCATGCTGATATTGTAGAAATACTACTGACAACATTTAATATACAGTCAAACCTGTCTTTAGCGACTGCCCAAGGGAAACACAAAAAGTGGTCTTTGTAGACAGGTTCCTTTGGTACATGTTTCAATGAGACACCATTTTCAAGGGAAACAAAGAATGTGGTCGTTGTAGACAGGTGGTCCCTAAAGCAGGTTTGACTGTAGTTTTGTACTTCTTGAGCTGTCATTTTCTAATTCAGTCACATTCACCTTGTAATTTTTCAGATGGGGAAACAAAGTTTTTCATTTGATGGTGCAGCTTTCTGGAATACTTTACCTATTTTTTTTTTAAATGCGCCATCAAATTCTTCATTTACTCTTTTGTTTTGGCGCTATAATAATTTAAATCAATGAACTGGTCCATTGTGTTGTTTTTGTTTCTTTTCTTTTGTTTGAAAATGTTGTAACTTAATTCATTTTGTTTCGATTTGGATTGTTTGTTTTCATTATGTTTGTTAATTTTGTATTTATGTTGTAGGGCCTCCACGGAAAACGGTATTTAACTACTGATGGAGCCACCCTACTAAAAAAAGACTAATAAATAAAATTATAAATAAATAAATAAATAAATTTTGTTTTTCATCAGAGCTACACCAGATATGATCTCCCTGATCAAGAGGAACTCTTGTGGTAAATCCCTGGACATCGCTAGGGTAGCTAGAGACATGCTTGGTGGTAACGGCATCTGTGATGAGTATCATGTCATCAGACATGTCATGAATCTAGAGGCTGTTAATACATATGAAGGTAAGAAATCTGTATATTCTAGCTTGCTCTCCAGAGCAAACCATGCATGATTTTGAAGTCTTCTAGTATCAAAATCCACCTACTGTGCCACCTTGAGAAATCCTAACCCTAACCCAAAGTGTGTGAAGAGAATAAGAATAAGGTATACATTTGTAATTACACATTCTATCCAATATGATGCTAATTTAGACATAAGATAAGAACAAGGTGTGGTTGTTGTATCATTGAATGCCGAGCAAGACATGATTTGACAGTGAACCCATTTGAAATGAAAGTGGAACAAATAATAATACAAATTTATTCAATTCATAGATGATTTGTTTTGATTTCATAGTGATGCTTTCAACTTGTACGTCTTTTTTTCTCAGATGTCAAATGCAGGGTATAAACATTGATTGATTGTTACGGCTTGCTAGCATCTTACATGCTCTAGGCTTATAAGGAATATCTAGTTCTTATAAGATGTATACTGGTTAATTTCAATGGGTTTGTGAACTGTTCTACAGCAAGTAGGTGACCCTCCAAGCACACTTAACTTACAAGTACTTGGCATCCTAGTTTTTATTCCATCGTATTCATATCACATTCTATAAGTGTAGATGATGCCCCACACCAATGGCATCAGATTGTTTGCATATGCGATATATTAACTTGATAATTGTTGCATCTTTTGCAGGCACACATGACATCCATGCGCTTATCCTTGGTCGAGCTATCACAGGACTCCAGTCGTTCACAGCTACAGGCTAGAAGACGGGACCATAGTAGATGATGGACTTACCCTTAAGCTTTAACCAAAAAGCTCTGACAATGTTATTGATGTGATCCAGCTGTGGAGAGGGGCAGGGGTTGTGATCTTGTCCTGTCTTCCCTTCCCCTAGCCCGGGCTTGCATGGACTGTAATTCTAAGAAGTAGTTGTTTCGTGGTGTTCCTGCACTTTGTGTGACATTTGCTAACTATCTTCCTCATGTTATTTCTGGAGAAAGTCTTAGATATCTATCATAATTACCAACAGGATGTACTAAAGCTGCCCGTAAAAAAAGTCCTTTGACATTCTGGTATTGTCACTTGTTTCTTTCTTTATGCACCATATTTTTGTGAAATTTAATTATTTTGTTTGCATTTTAGGACTCAGATTCAATACGTGAAAAAAGTTAAAACCCCCTCCCCTCCCCAAATTTTCTTACTGTAGTGAGAGTATGCTGTATCAAAATATACATGTGGGTGTCAACAGTATTTGCCTACTCAGACCATTTTTAAAATGTCATTTACTTAATGAAAATGTAATTGTTACTAGATGAATATTGAAAAAAATGACCAATGGGTAGTGAACTGTGTGCTATGCGTTGTCCCTGATAAAAAGTGTTGATAGATCTCACATGTTTTTTCATGGTCTTTTTTGACCAATCACAATCTCAACTATCCTGATTATTATTACTGTAATTGCCCCCCCCCCTCCCTCTTTGCCCCACATTGTTAAGTGAGAGAAATGGAACTTGTCTTTTAGCAATTTAGCAAACAATCGTTTATCCGGTAGAAATGATAGATAAATATAGAATGCAGTTATTTTGTTTCATTTAGCAGATTCACTTGCTGAAGACTTGAATGATACATCAAAAGTATAAAACTGTGAACAAAAATTAAACTGTCTCCTCTGCCAATATACATATATTTTTATGGTTATTTATACGTCTTGGAGAGAAAAATAAGACTGTGCTGAATTTGAAGGGGGGAAAATGTTTGAAAAATATGTGTGAATTTACATGTACATGTACCCGTATATTAAAATACACAATGCCTGTGTATGTTTTGTAGTTGTGTCTGAAATATTGCTATAGACTTAATTTCCTTTTACAAGTTTTGAATTGATTTATATATGCATCTGTATCATATTTTTTTTTACTTAATATAATACTTAAATACTTACATATTTAAATTACATTAATGAATTCCTAAATGTAACCCCTTACCAAATACACATTAGTGTACAGATACATGTAGAAGGGACAACTTATTACAAATAAGGGGTCAATCGATGTCATGTTTATGAGCTTACATCAAGTGTTGACATAAAACTATTTTTCTCAATTGATTCATTATCTCTTTGCTTACAAGTGCATGCACTAATTATTGTTTTAATTTATGTCCTTGAATATGTGGAAATAAGGTTAAGTAGTTGCAAATCAATCATATGCCAACATGAAAGTTATAATTTGTAGAGGCCTTGGTGAAAATCATGTCACTTTAGTAAGTGCATTATTTAGCAATTAAAAAAAATTAAAACTCTCTGGCACATTTTACATTCAAGTTTTTGTTGATATGCCAATAGCATGGTCATGTTTAATGTTGGGTATGTTTCTTTTGTTTCAACTGATACTAGCATGATTTTAATGTGTTTATTTTTCCACAAAACGTTTGTTTTCTTGAGATAACTTGTATTTTTCCCTATTTCCATGTGTTATGCCATTATGAATGTCATGTGTGACAAGTTGACGAGAAGCAGAATGGCGCAAAATCCTTCTTCATATTTGATGGGGATATAGACGTTGAAAGAAGAATTATGTCAACAATTACAAAGTGTATATTTTTATTTGAACATGTATAAATGGTGTGAGTGAATAAAAGCATTTGAAAGCAGAAACATGGCCTGTTACTGAATTTATTATTTTAATTTTGTTGTTGTAGATTCCTCTTGGGAGTATGCATGGAATAGAAACTATGGATGTGCTAGGTCACCTAGGTGTAAAAAAATGTAAATTTTGATTGATAAATGTCTCTTTAAGTGGCAAATCATCTTAAGCTGAAATGTTCTACATCAAGATGTTGAACACAATAGATTTTATTTGTAAATAAATATTGAGTCAAACTAATGCTTTAAACTGAATATCTCAGTATTTTTCTGGCAACATAAAACTCACCAAATTAAAATCTGCGCCCTTCTAATTTTGCATTGAGCAAAGGTCATCTTGTTAATACAGTATGTGGGGTTTTAACTTTTTAACTTATTACTGATCAAAAGTGGTAAATGTTGTTCATTTACACCTAGTACATGTACATGTGAATGTATGTTTGGAATTTGCCCACACTTATTACTGTTCACAATGGGAAAATACACACATGTGAAAACAAAGCCATAATGACACTGTATGACTGAAAGTCTGGCACGTCACACTACGCATTGCACAGAGTCAAAGACACAAACATTTTAATTCAAATTGAAATAGTATTTATTCATGTTATACTCTCATCAGCACAACATCATTTATTCTTTACATTTCATCCAAATAAACTGTACATTCCTCCAATCTGATTGCAAAGTAACCTCTTTTTAATTCACTCGATAAAATTCTCAACATAAAAAGGAAAGAAATGCATCAAAAACACTTTCTTGTATTTCATAGAAACCTTCTTTTCCCTTCATATATAAACAACTTCTCTAGTCTTAAACTACACTGAGAGGTACCTGAGTATATTCTAGATACATACACAGTACTCTTATTCATTGGACAATCTAAATCCATGTTTAAAAACATCCATCTCTAAATAACTTTGTTCGTATATCTCTTTTCTTCTGTATGGACAACAGTGAAGTACATCAACACATACACATCAAAATAAGTCAATTCATTTTGCACATTAAAAAAGAAAAATTATTTCAAAATATCTTGCAAAGCTTATTCAGTACTATGCTTAGGTGGGGAGCATAGTGATACAGATATTGTTGTATTGCATGTGAATTATTCATTACTACTTAATAGAATACAAAGTCATTGAAAGCATTTATCACAAAGTTTCAGTTTTTTCAAAATTTTCTATGGAAGCAACTCAAAAACCAACAACAAAATGACAAATTGAAGTGAATTAAAAAGGCATATCAAAACATAGCATTAATGTGTAAAATGGACATACATGTAAAGAACTAAAGAATGTTGTCCAACCAATGATGAAGTTATGCATTCATTAATTCAGTCTTCATGCAAACAGGATGCAGATGATTGTGAATAAAAGAACTTTAAAAATATTAAATTTGACATGAATTAGTTCATTCAGAATGTTAGCAGGTGCAAGTTTTACCACCACCTATCAAAGCAAAAATATTGATAGCGACATTGAATATTACATTTCTGCATCCTCTTGCATAAAAGCTCGTGTTTAAACGCAACTAAACAAAATAAACGCAACTTGACTATCAACTAATCTGCAACGGCATATTTTCAACTTGCATATAAGTTTTGGAGTTGCATTTACACACAACTTTTTATGCCAGAAAGAATTGGTAACTTTTTCCGATCATTGATATTTTATCTTAATATTTTAGTAAAATGCATCTTATGAGAATAGAATTGCCTTTTATTTCATTAGATGAAGTGGAAAAATTCATTAAAAAATTAAAAGAGAAAACACTACAAGTATATAAAAAAAGAAGGAAAAAAATATGCGATTCTATCTCAATTGTTAATGTCATTCTAAAATCTAAATCACAATGGCACATAGTTGATTTTGTTCAGTTTAACAGTACTGCAAGTTACAATACATCTCTATCAGTTTCACTCCTCCGACCTCGTACTACAAACTCATAGGATCCTACAGCAAAAAACTCAGTCAATTTTTCGATTGTCCAGTCATGTTTCTTTTCCCCAAAAATCGCTCCCTCAAATTGCTCTATGAGAATCTGTACTTCTAACCGATGATTTAATAAAAAGAAATGCTTTGCATAACACATTGTATATTAAACTTAATATTGCTTTCCTTTTTTTTTTCCAAATCGAATTCCAGAATAAAATATCACATAAAAAAATATAACTGTCTGTTGACCTTAACACAACCATGCATTTCCTCTTTGGAAGAATATGAAATAATCCTCAACATCAGCTGAGGAAAAAGAAGAATAAGTTGTAGTACTACATCAAAGCAAATTTGCAAACACTGACCTCACAAATTCTCAACGTACAGATCCACTTTTTTTTTTCAACTTCAATTTATATTCTTTCAATTATTTATTTGATATACATACAAAGGAAACCCAATCAAATTTATAATTATAATTGTAATTATATCATATTTCAGTGAATATATCGTATGTTCAGAGCCAGAAGGGTGTTAACTCTGTGTTACAGTATATGCGTTAACGCCCTTCTCACTCCAAACAGACGATGTATACTCTTGGGTAATTGTCAGAAGGACCCTAAAACCAGTCATGGATACCGCGGCTTGTATCAGTATCATCACCAGTTCTTGAATGTTCCAAATTGGAACACATTTCTCTTCTTCAGAATTGTATTTTGTTGATAACTTAGTGACCTTGACGTGTTCATTTAGCGAAAGGCATTAACCATAATGAGCATTGTTTCAGCATTGACTATTCATATGACAAAGCGCATGTTAACTATACCACATTTTAACTTTACTGCATAAATATTCAACTTTCTAAAAGAGCTGCCTACTTTTACATGTATGACTCATGCAGAAGAGCCAGTATAAAGACTGGATATCTAGCCGATCTGTGACAGTGAAGCACGTTGCAATCTCTATGAAAATGCCAAAAAGTTTTAGTATGGATGCAGATGTAACATCGAGGCACTACGTATTCATAAAGTCTGTGATCTCAGTAGAAAGTTTGGTTTAAATATCAAAGAAACATGACAGATGTAAGAACTTTTGAAAATTAAACTTGTCAAACTTGCATCGTTTTCAGAATGGCACTTGTGTGTATGTACACCAATGAATACAAATGCACTTCAAAACCAGTTCAGCAGTAAAATTTATTTACCCAATTCCCTTATAAAAGCTCTTATCCTTACATTCTGTTAAATATCATTACCAGACTTCTGGGCCCATATTCATTAGAACCTCATAGGCCCAGTTGTCAAGTAATTAATATGTAGATATAGTAACACACATATCGCTGATATATTTCTAATTGGTGAAATGCGTATAAGCCTATGACATACATATGACTACATACATGTAGGTCATACATAATTGTCCTGAGTATGCGACGGCAGCTTCGATGTAAATATTCTTCTGATTAAATAATGCCCTTAACCCAGATTAATTACCAGTTTGTTAAATTACAATTTAGGAATTTACATCATTGTTATAATGTTCCTGCTAGTAGGGAAATCAATAGAAGGGGCCAGAAAACAACCCAATTTCAACATCCATATTCAGAGATTTTCAAAAGTGATATGAAAAATAGAGTAAAAGTATGGCTATATCAAACTACCCTGAACTTGCTGACAGGTCATTGAAGGTCATTGAACTTAGGTCAATGAAGGTCACTTCAACAAGACTGATATACATTGCATCAAGATTGCAACAACATCTACAAAAAGTAGTGAAATGGTTCCACTATGTGTTGCATGCTTATCATTCACATGAAATATATTGCTTTGTCTGATTATGTTGTCATAGTTACCATATTCCACCTAATTAATGACATCTTAGCGAAAGAGAATTTAAGTAGATTCATTTTCTCTGAAGAAAATTGAGTGCCATGAGCACCAGTACCTGGCAGATACCAGCGCTATATAAATAGCCATTATTAAAATCATACATCATACAAAATCTGTTCTAGATATATATATATTTCAATAACACACTTTGCACAATCAATAAATGATGCTTTTGTGTTCATCTATCAGAATGTAATATCCTGCATCATGAGTTCAAGCTTTCTGAAAACAGCTCTTCGTTAACCATGGAAATGAAAACACATTCATCAAAAGGGTTATCATCACATCTCGTCTAAAAGGATGCTATGAGAGAAAGACCTGCAAAAACTTGGGATAGATGAGACTGATTCCGTGTCTTAGCCTAGGTCTAGATTCTGAACAAGGACTAGATATTGGACAAGATATGCATCCAGGGCCCCGTCTTGTAGAGACCTGCGATTGATCCAAATCGACCGCAAGTCCTCCGATCAATCGCAAGTTTACAGTCTCCTATCTCTTATGTACATAGTTGCGATTGATATCAATCACAAAATAAGTTGCAATTGATATCAACTGTTTATAAGACGGGGCCCAGGACTGGGTCTGGGTACTGGAAAACACAATCAAGGCCCTTAGTTTCTTGATCTACCTGCATTCATTCCAACAGTGATGATCACTCTTTCTCCAGGTACATGCAATGGAGTTCAAACTCTCGTCAAAGTCAAACCCTTGGTTTACTGTTCTTTCTGGAGCTAAGAGGATGCCGTACTCCTCCATGTTCCTTTCACAGAATCAACTAACACGTAGAGTGTATCGTCCGGATCAATCCTTACAGACCTGCTATCCTCTCCATTAAAGCTCTCTGCTACCAATCTCCTTCGCTCAGATCATAGCCATGCAGACCAGAATAATTTGTCCATACCCTATATCCCAATCAACTTCTCAGGCATGGTTCCTTTCTCTCTCAACCCATTGACTCCTGCATTATTTCAATCACATAGGTTTGACACATGAGCCATCTGGTTCCAGTAGGGAAGGAGTTAATCTCTTTCCTTCCTGATCATCAAGCTATCCATCCACATCGTCTATCCCGCTTATCTTTTCCGTCGGCTTCTCCCCACCGCCGTTTCCATTGACCTCTGACCCTTCCGACGACCCGTTGACCTCCATCCTGGGAGTGACGGTGCCCTCTGTGGTCTCTTCTCCCTCATCCTCCTCCTTGGTGATAGCATCATCATCCTCGTCTTCATCCTGCGTGGTGAGATCGGTGAGGAGAGCGGTGGCTTCGGCCAGGGTGTCCTGAGCGCTCATGGTGCGTTGGAAACCCTTGCTGGTGGACGACTCGTTGGAGATGGAACTCTGAGGGTTCCAGTAGTGCTCTGTCATCTGTTTAATACACAATGCCATACAATTTAAAAGTCATTATCTTTTACATTTCATATCTGAGTTCAAGAGAGGTTTCTGAGAGGTGTGTCATCTCTCCAAGAATCATACAATTACAATTCAAATTCAAAACTATTAGTTCAAAGGGTTTAAGAAGTAAATGTACCTTCTTCATCTAGCAAATGCCACTTCTTTCCAAACAGAGGGGTATCATAATTCTTGCAACATATTCAAAAGTTATATCTCACAATTATTTCATTTCAAATTGACAACTTATATAACTCTTTAATGTACCCTTTAACCACAACCATTTTTCAGGTTCAAGATGATGTATCAGACAAAGGTAGGGGAAAAAAGGAAAGAAAAAATAATAGTCTGCCAACTTGAAGAAAAAATTATCATCAATTTAGCACTTAGTTCCTTTAATTGAAGTGGGACTGCACTACTTGAAGCTACTTGCGCCCTCTATATGGCAAACAATGCCTAAGCGGTACCCGTTGGTCCCCTATGGTCCCCTTTTTCTTATGTTAAATGAGAGCTGATTTGATGACTCAACCACCTGTCAGTGACCATCCAGGGAGGTCTAATCACTCCTGGCCAAACTAGTGCAGATAGGCTTTAATGGGTTCAGTAAGAGTTCTATATACCTTCTTCTTGAGCCAGTTGACTGCCCAGTGCCACTTCTGGGAGACCGATGTCAGGTATTCCTTGGCTGCTGGTGACTTGTTGGACAGATGGACCAAGAACTTGATGCACTGGTAGGACCGCCGGCTGTCATTGCCCGTACAGTTACGGATGATACCTGCAGAGCAAAGAGGGCAACGTGGAGAACAGGGTGAAAGGAAAATAAATGTCACTCACTTACAAGATGTACTGCAAATGCAAATTTGTTTTATCTATTCAGACTATTCACCATTCACTTTAAGGCCCCACTGCACTACTTATAGCTACTTGCGCCCTCTATATACCAATTGGTGACCATTGGCCTCCCATGATCCACTTTTCTTATGTTAATTGAGATCTTATTTAATGAGATAACCACCTGTCAGTGACCGATCAGGGAGGTATAATCCCTCCTGGCAAACTAGTGCAGTGGGGCTTTAAGACAGCAAGAATCTCTAATGCCTTTCAAAGCTCTAGGGAACCCAGACTGGCTTGAACAAGCGGCTAAAAAAATTGTAAATGAGTGTCTTACTCAAGGGTAATATTAAACTGATTTGATTTTGAAATGCTATAACCGATTCAAAAGCCATACTTCTAATAAAAATAAATAAGAATAAAAACTAATTTTCTATTTTCTTGTTGGTTTGAAACAATATAATTTCAATTCCTTTTAGTTAAAACACAAAGTATGGATTATCAAGTTTTCTTCATTATAGACCATGCTGACCGACAGAATAGATTACTATCCATACAATAACATCAATATATCTATATATATATATCTCCCTAATAAGTGTTGACTTACTGAAGAGTCCATTGCTTTCATTGCCTTCCATGGCCAGCTTCAATCTTATTAGCTGTAGAGGATCATCTAGTAGCAGTAGCTCTAATAGCAGCACAAAGATAGCCTTCAGCTCATTGGCTGGAGCAGACGATACTTGACTCTATCAGGACAAAATAGACCAATCACATCACTCGTACAATTTACTTTTGTTTGTGTTAATGGTAATGTCATACATTTTTTAAAAGAATTAAGTTACTAACAAGAGCACAGTTCAAAATCAGTTGAAGCCGGATTAACAAAAAAAAATGTTAAATACAAAAATGAATGAGATTACTACTTCAGAATACATTCCTATTAGAAGAAGAATAGAAAAAAGAATAAGTTCAACAAGATGGATAAAAAATAAGGGAAAAGTGTGACGGATGAATAGGTAGAAATACAAATAAAGATAAAAGATTAGAACAGAAGAAGAAAAAAATGCAAGGGAGAAAGCCATATATTAGATAGAGAAATACAAATTTAAATATACATATATTTAACAAGAGAAATAAATCTCATAATCTTGTAAAGAATAAAATGAGAAAAAATTAAATTACAAACTGAATAAGTCATTTGTAAAAGATAAAAAAAAGGGAGAAGAACCTACAGACTATTTGTAACACCATGACCAAGAATTATCAATACATTGAGGGGTTTTACTTACATGTATGATCATCATGACATTGAATGTGAATCCTTCATTGCAGAAGCTACAATGTAGCAACATATCAAGAATGGGTGTGGTCGAGGAATGAACTTCACGGAATGCTAGCACAGACTGGAAATAAGAATCAAAAGGAAGAACGTATTGATTATTCAGATGTTATGATGATCATTATGGAAATTAAAATTGAAATTGTATTGGTTTATTGACACAAAATAATACACTTAAAAGCGACCCAAGGGCTGAAAATGTTCAATTTACATGACACAACATGCAGAAATATCAAACCAATTCTATGTAGCAGTGTATGAACATAACAATCAAGGTCTATGAGACAAGGTTTTCCTTAATATACCAGCATCTTATAATCAAGGAAAGTTTGTGATAGCTCCATTAATACCCCTCTTTCTCACTTTTCTTCATGTTTATGAAAACATCAATCTCTCTGAATTTCTCATATATTTATTTATCTACCTATATATCAATCTTCTTTTTTATTTATACATTCATCAATCTATCTATCAATCTATATTTTCATCTATCTATCTATTCATCTATATATTTATTTATTTATTCATACATTCTGCTATCTATCTTTCTATCTATTTATTCAGCTATCCCGCTATCCATCTATCAATCTGTCTATCTATCTCTCTCTATCTATCTATCTATCTATCTATCTATCTATCTATCTATCTATCTATCTATCTATCTATCTATCTATCTATCTATCTATCTATCTATCTATCTATCTATCTGTCTGTCTGTCTGACTATATATCTATCTATCTGTCTGTCTATCTATCTATCTATCTATCTATCTATCTATCTATCTATCTATCTATCTATCTATCTATCTGTCTGTCTGTCTGTCTGTCTGTCTGTCTGTCTGTCTGTCTGTCTATCTGTCTGTCTGTCTGTCTGTCTATCTGTCTGTCTATCTATATATTCATTCATCCATCCATCTATTTCTTTATGATCTATCTATCTATCATACCTCCTTGATATACTTGAGGCATGGAGGACCAAACAGAGTATGTCTCATATCTTCTGGCACTGGTAATAATCTGTTCAGGTTCTCTAGGATCAAGATGGGTCTCCTCTTAGGCTTGTCACCAAGGTCTGATGAAAGAGAATAATTTGGAAGGAAAAAAAGTATTTAAAGATAAAGTTGAGTTATGGTCATGCGATTGTATTGTGAAAGAAACGTTGTGGAACCGATCAGAAAAGGTTGATCATCTAGCATATAAGTATTGGTGCGTACTGCAAGGTTCTGGAATCATCAAAATGATAAGAAATTTGCCCAGTCTTAGTAAAGTTACAAGCACTGTACACAGAAAGATGATAATGGGACTAAACAAACATGTGGGATAAAAATCCCTCCCGATTTGTATGCTGTTACATGCCATATTTAGAATACTAAGGCATTTGAAGAACCATGCTTTTCAGGGAACGTTTTATATCTGATGTTCTTCCACACTGTCTTGCATAATACGAAGATACCAATATTCTTAACAATTATTTTCCACCTCTTCCCAGAACTCAACCTTCTCTTTAAGTATTTTTTTTTCAACCAAGGAGATCAAAAGTAAACATGCAATGTTCAAATACCAGGTTATCTCTACAAACTGAAATGCAATGTTTATCACACTTCTGAAAATGAAACAAATTTTAAATACTTTCAAATTCTCATTATCAATACCACCATACACTCAAACCCCTCTTACTGTATATAAGATCAAACAGGAAAGAAAATATCTGAGTGCAGTACCAAGGCGGGTGATAAAGTACAAAGGAAACCATCCTTCTACTCTCACAACACCTATCAACTAAAGTCCAGATACAATGTTTGCCCCTGTGATATTAGCTTCAGGCTTTACCGTCTCAAAGATAGAGTAGGAGCTTTCATTGTGATTGGGTTTATAATAATTTTAGGGTTAGGGTTAGTGTTATGTTAGTGTGTTGGGTCCAAGGGTCAAGTTCAGAATTTAAAGGTGGTGTAGCATGACAAGACTACATGTCTTTCCCCTGGCCTGACTCGTGGCCAATCGTGTATAATATGACTATGGACGACGCGACCGCAGTATTTACGTGCATGCAGCATACGCAAAACCAAAGCGTGAGGAGAACTCCAGTCTGTTTCGCGAAGCTGACCGTTAATCCAGTTGATTTGTTTACGAGCAGTTGTCCAAAAGAAGTCGTAGATGGCGTTAACCAGTAATTGCCATGATACACCCCCTTTAAGAATTAGCTTGACAGTGAAGCAACTGTTGCCGGAGCATATGCCATGCTTTACCGAACGCAAACGATCACATCTTTCTTTCTGTACATACCAACAGACCAGTATGGAGATACATCTGAGTGTAGAACCATGGCAGCAAGCATGGTGTGCAGGAAACCAAACTCTCTAGTCTGAAGTGATGTCCACCGTCTCGTCTGGATGTCCTGGAGAAGAAAAGAGAAATCTCATCAAAAGAGCTCAATGTTTGGAATGATGGCTTGGTATCAGGAGATCTCATATGTAGTGTCCTAAGTCACAGCATAACTACTGATTGAGGTATTCCCTTTGATAAACCAGGCTATAGAAGCAATTATAGTAGGTGATGTTAAGAATCCCTGTAAGATATTAATTGCTACTCTGTTACACCATGCATATTCTATGATAGTGTCAGATCAAAATAAAAGTAATATACATGAATGCTTCAAATACATAATTACTGCCATGTCCAGGTAAAATTGAAGTCCTTGTGTGTCATGAACAAAGAAATTATTGTACCATTACTCAAAACTGTTCCAAGTCTATGTTTGTAACTACTCCATTCAAAGCATGTTTTAAACATTCCTTTGGCCGAATGAGTACCGGGTAGTTACAAACTTCTAATTAAAGGCCATCTGTACTAGTTTGGCTAGGAGGGATTAGACCACCCAGGGTGGTCACTGACAGGTGGCTATCTCATCAACTCAGCTCTCAATTAACATAAGAAAAAGGGGATCAAGTTAGACCAATGGTCACTAATTAGGCATTGTTTTCTATATAGAGGGAGCAACTAGCTACAAGTAGTACAGACAGCCTTTAAGACTGGTTTGAGTGATACCACTTCATACATATTGTCAAGCCTCACAATTCTTACCAAGTCATTCAGCTCTGAAGGGGGTCCTATGAGGAATGTGATGAGTCTCTGGAAAGCTTTCCTCCTGAACAGGTGCTCACAGGTATCTGAACCCTGCAAGATAGAGATACAGAGAAGGTCATTAGTTTGGGGTTTCTTACTTTAAAGACAAATAAAAGTGGACTCTCATGGGGAATTTGACATCGTTCAGGTGTTTACCCAAAATCACGTGTTGTAAATCACCGGGATTAGCCTTCAGTTTTATGACCAACAAGCTTTATGTAATGCTCTGTCTATTCCCCATTTGGTTAAGTTGTATCTGCTGACATTTGCATCACCGAAAGACTCTCCAAGAGACGAGGGGTATTGGTTGAGTAGACTACGAGTTTGCTGTGTGCAGAGTTGTACACCCATTAAGGGTAATGTTGAAGTAACACTCGTTTCTTTCAAGTCATTTTACTTATTGTTATACAAACTATGAAACAAAACATACAGAATATTAAGGTATAATATGAAACCCTAGCATGGCAATCATCAAAAGTATGCGACACACTGCATAACTAATTGTCTTGATTGTATCCAAATGCACTCACAACAATCCAAAATACTTCATCACAATACTTGAAATTATGAGCTAATAACATTTACAACAGCATTGATTGCAGAGGAGCTTCAAGAGACCTGGGTAGATACTGAAAAGTTTCACTCTAAAGTTTGCAAAAGTCCATCTCAACAATGAAGCAAAACTGAAACTAAGAAATTTCCTACTGATAGTTAGTTCTACAGGTATGAAAACTGTTGGTAAACCAAACAGCACAGATTGAGTAAAATCTATAGAAAGGTAAGATTACTTCTGGAGGACGTTTCACAAAACTTGTCATCAGTGACAAATGCTAGTCTGTGTTATAAGCTACTGAAATCCTTGCTTCTGATTGGTTATCAGCAGATTTGATCACTGATTTTTGTCATTTGGCATTGAAAAAAGGCTTTGTGAAACAGGTCCCTGCTGTCTTACCAGCTCCAAGTACATGCTGAGGAGCCAGAAGTACTGGACACAACTCCTGCAGTGCTCCAGGACCTCCTTGTCCAGGAGAGACAGGAGATGCTCAAGGATGAAATCCAGGTTGGCTTGGTGCGTGTCATGGGATCGCAGGACGAAGCTCTGCATGACACTCTTGACGATGTTAGCCATAGCCATCCGAACCTCTTGACTGGGACATTCTAGTAGGAAGGCCCTGGTAAATGTAGAAATCAATAAAATATTACAGGATTGAGGGATTAACGATAACACTCATAGCCATAAAAACATCAACAACATTAACCAGATTTTCTAAGTCTAGACCTTGAAGAAAAAATGTATAATGTAACAACAATATCACCAACAGCAACATAAGTGACAGCAATAACACCTATACAACAACAACAATAGCAACATCACCACCAGCATCAATATAAACATTTACACCAACATTGTCTGTAGAAATAGGAGCTATGTGAACAGCACAAGCAACAATGGCAAAATACAACAATCAGCAAAACAGCATAAAGAATCACAAAAAGTGGATGTAATCTTTATGAGTGAACAAGTCTTTTGTAATGATGAGCACATCATTCACAAATTCTTTAGAAGAGCCTCCCACAAGAGAAAAATTCATCAAAATAAATTCATAACCTGAATCATGCTGAAGGCTCTCCTATCTCTCATTGATATGCTTTGAGCAATTCTCACTACAATTCTCTTCCATGAGTCGCTTCAATGTTTTTGCAGCATGCCAGATTCATACACACATTATGGAGATTCTACATACTAAGTGCGAGTCTACTTTGTTTCACTACACAAGACCAGCTTCAACATCTTAACATGCTAGGTATAACAGCTATTCTACTTACTTGAGGTAGTCTCTGCCTTGTGATGATGCCAAGACTTCCAGGGCCCATTCACAAGCTTCCGGACTGTCTTTCACTATGCTATCAATCAGATCTCTCCAGTCCTCTAAATCATACCTGCAGAGAGGCAAGATCATAAACATTACTCTCAGGCCATGTGCTGCATCAGAGAGGTATATATGGTGTGATACAGAACCTAATCAAGTCTTAAATGCTGTATGATTCTGTTAAGAACATTTGGCAATTCTTTAATCATTTTTATGTCAAAATTTCTTGGCTAAATGGAGGTAGCTCTACCAATCATGAGCAGTATTAAGATCATACTTCTAATGTGCCATATATATGTACTATCATAGAGATTATTTCCTGCACAGGTGTGTATTAAGTGTTGAGTGTCAAAGTCTGACAGACATGATCGCTATACAAGAACACACCATTGTTACTATAACTAGAATCTTAACATCAATATTCACGTGATGTTATCCTTCTTCACTTACCGGAGTTTCTTCTTTGTTCTGAAGAGAGTGTTGAGAACAAAGTGCATGGCAAGCTTGATACTCTGCTGGGCCATCATACTGTATGCTGGATGGTATGTCATATGCTAAGGAGAAACAACACAGATTCCAGCGTAATAATAATAGTTAAACTCACGTTTAACTCATATGCAGACATTAGTCCGTCGAATGCACACCTATTTCATTACTTCTGATTATTATCATAAAAGTTCACCATCTCCACACCTTGTGCAGAGTTTCTGTGAATGATGTGAGTGAACGCAGGTCCAAGCAAATTTGATCAAGCATGTAAATGTTGCCATTTATTTTCCTGATTGAATATATTATACCAAATATGAGGTATGAAATTAAGTAGAAGAAAAATTTCAAGATGGAACTTAAATATTTGTAATGGAAATTATGTTTATTTAAACATATTTGTGGCTTACACCCAGTAAATAAGATCGATTGATCGATCTGTATTGAAAAACAAGTCAGAAATAATTGAAATTTCTCCCAGGAAGCATTACCTTTATAAAAGGATATTATGTTGTCTTACAAAGAGTTGTAACTGATCCATATCAATCACAACCTTACAATCTCTAAATGTATCATTATAGATTTGCAATTGGGTCAATTTGGGTCCATCAAAACTCGAAGAACAAGTCAAGTTGTCAATATCCTCCTCTTTAAACAGTCAATCTCCAGACTCCAAAGGCCACTCACCAAACTGCAGGATGCCAGCTTGCGGACAAAGGTGATGTACTCCTGGTTGTAGACGGCCCTGTTCTTCAAGAACTGTAGGTTCTCATCCTCTATCTGTCTCTGGATTGGTGCAGGCATCTTATCCAAGAAGAACCCTCTCTTCTCACCCTTGTGAACCAGGGCTGAGAGCTCACTCATCCTGTCTCCTGTAGGGGACAGCTCGGGGGAACTCAGACCATCCATACTCCTGAGAAGAACAGAAGTGGAATTAAAAAGAAGAAAAATCATAATTTTGTTTGAAGATATAGAAAACGAGGTTAGAGAAAAATAGACTCCTAAGAAGAAAATATATTAAGAAAAATTAAACATTAAAAAAAAACAGGAAGTGAAAAACAAACAGGAAATAAAATATAAGGACCTTGGCCCCTGTATCATGAAAAATTGTTCTTATTTTTTTTTAAAGGCAATTACTGAAAAAAAAAACTTGTGGAATAAGTGTGCAGCAAGGTTGTCATTGAATTTTGTCACTTGTTATTGATAGCAAGTTTTGTGAAAAGTGGCCCTGGAGTGGACCAATAATACAAATGTGTTCAAGAACTGTGGAGAACAGAGAAGTGGAATAATGGGCTGTGAGACTGTGGATTCTGGACTGTGAGGAGATACCATGATGGATAATTTTCATTTCCATTTCTGTCAAAGACTCAAAATATTAGTAAACAACTTCTTTATTGTCTACACAGTTTCTTGAAGAGGCAACTGACACTATTTTCCCATTTCTTCAATTGAAATGTATCAAGCACATCATTTCTACAATGCTACAGTAGTAATTGATCTGCAATGAATGTACTCACCCGTGTATATCACCATGGTATCCCTTGCGTCCTATCCTAGCCATAGGGTCAGGGCTTCTCATCCCCTCCATCTTCTCATAGAACAACATGTAACCACTCCATGTTCTCAATCTGTTCTCAGGTCCGTATGAACCTGGGCAGACAAAACACAAACAAAAATACAGAGCATTAATATTCCTCATCATTTTACTCGATCAAATGTGGATTTTCATATCCCATACACAAGAACTGCCATAGCAGCGAATACTGGAGAGAAAATCATTTCAGTGATTTATAACGACATCCTACATCGAAAAATAAAATTCCTAGTGATATCCGTTTGTCTCGCAATGTATGGTCAACGAGGGACAATATTTTTTATCACCTGACGAAGTGTTGCGGCGGCGCACAAAACGTCGTGATCTTTTAGATCGCTTGTTGACCATACAAAGCGAGACAAATGAATATCACTAGCGATATTATTTTCGATACTACATCCGCAATGAGTAATATATTTAACTTTAACATCCTACATATTTGTATGTATATAGTGAAATTTATATATAAAGACCACTCAGGGGACACAAGAACATTGATCTTTATATCTTTCAATATATCTTTGAAATAATTTTGCAAGACCACATACTTAAGCTAATATGTCAAAAATATGGTGAAAAATAATGTATGATGTGAGCTGGTCTAGCAGTACAGATACAGACCAACTCTGACAGACCATACTTTGAAATAAAGTTGCATCTTCCAGACGGTTACGTTCAAAATCGGTCTCAAGACATGAAGATATGATTGATATGCTTATACAAATCCTGTTACACGATTACACTACAATGCACACATTAAAAAAAGGGGTTTGTGGGGGACTTTGTTGATAACAGCCCTGGGTGGGTGCAAAGAGGCCTGGTATTGGGTTTACACTGACCTGTAGTCTCATTTGACTTGGACCTGAATGAACCTCCGAAGCACTCAGCCTCGAGGGCAGCATCCGACATGATGAACTCCTCAACCTGGGTGTCGTTGAAGCGGAACCACTTCCCCTTGCTCATGTTGGTCATGGATGTACCTCTGAGGGAGGAAAGAGGAAAGTTCATGTTATTATTATCTATTTGTTTGGATGATTCATTTTAAAAGTGAACATTTCTTAAAACTTTCAACTTTAACAAGCCCTTAGAGCTTCTTAAAAACTACTGTTTGTTTCCTAGAACTATTTTGTTTTTGTTATTTGTGAGAAGCATCATTTGAACAGGATGGACAAGCACTCACATCTGGTCAATAATGCAGTCTTAAGACACAACAATGAAAACCACAAGAACTTTCTAGAATTCAGTTGTTGTTTTTTTGTCTATATTTTCTGAAACTTGAGATTCTAAATTTTCCCCATGATATATCCAATGAAACCAACTTACACATAACGTTAGACTAAGAGAAGTTTAATAACTCCTCCCAGAAAAATTTCCCTCTTCGCCAATTGCTCTTATATAGGATTGCAACTTAATGTTAGTTTCGAGTCCTAGAGACACATGAGGAAGGGTTAAAGGGTTATCTTGACTTATTACCTGAACTGTCTATACATTATTCACTCTACTCTTGACCAATTTCTTTATCAGTCTGACAGAATAACATCTCAAAAACAGCAACTTACCCTCTATCCTTGATGAATGAGTAGTAGTGACCAGCGTTGGCTTGTCCGCTGTGAACGACCACTCCCACCAGCTGGTAGAGATCATCGGTAGAGCTCTGAGAGGAGACGTGTCTCTGGTAGTTCATAGGGCTGGGTGGATCATCGGCCTGCTGCTGCTGCTGCTCTCTACGAGCCATGCCCTTGGAAGTGAACGGCTCCATGTCTAACACCCAGGGAAACTGATACAGAAGATGGGAAGAACATGTTGAATCCCTTCACAAATGTCATATACATGTGTATTCACCACAAATTAAATGTATTTCAAAATTTAACATACATTGCCTCTCATATGCCACCTCCCCCCCCCCCCCTCCCCTTTAAAATGTCACATGTTAAGTTACACATGGTGAAAGTACAAAATACATCTTTTAAAAAACCACTCAATGTATTTTTCCCCACTACCACCACCACAACCAACATTATTCAATATCCTTATCATCATCATCATCACCATCATCATCATCATCATCTTCATTATCCTTATCATCACAATCCTCATCATCATCACAATCGTCATCATCATCCTCATCACAATCACCATCACAATCACCATCCTCATCATTATCACCATCCTCCTCCTCCTCCTCCTCCTCCTCCTCCTCCTCCTCCTCCTCCTCCTCCTCCTCCTCCGCCGCCGCCGCCGCCGCCGCCGCCGCCGCCGCCGCCGCCGCCGCCGCCGCCACCGCCACCACCACCACCACCACCACCACCACCACCACCACCACCACCACCACCACCACCACCACCACCACCACCACCACCATCATCATCATCATCATCATCACCATCTTCTGATTCCCACACAGTGTATCTCACCTTGAAGTAGTCATCAAACTTGAGAGCTCTTCCTGCCTCCCAGTCGTAACCAAACCTCTTCAGCTGAATGACAAGGACTGGTGGCAGTGTCTTGATACATGTCCTCTTGATCGTATTCCTCTGTTAAACGAAATATCAAAATAGATAATAGTTCACAATCATCTCAGTGTAGACTACATGTATAATGATGCAATTCATGTTGCTAAAGCCTCGGTCACAAATGCCATTACGAACTGCTACGAACGCTGTACGAATGATTTTCAGACAATGGAAATTCGGGAAGACAATGGTAAAACACGGAGATTTGTACGAAATTATCGAGATTATATATAGCATTACACAGGAGACTGTGGGTGAGTAAATAGTGACACATGATTAACTAATGGCCTCAGATTGGCAGTCAGGCGTCCTTTGGGTAGGTTTCTGACTTACATGTACAATTCTTTGTATTATCACGCACCTGTTAAATTCCCTATCATTATTAGCCATGTCCAGTTTTATGAACAATATGCCAATCTAAAAATCTTTGTAAACAATAGATATACACTGCAACACAAATGAACACTCAATATGCAGTGTTTTATATTTTTCTTCTTTTCTTTTCTCCCTCTCCTCTCCTCTCTCCCCTCCCCTCCCCTTCCCCTCATCACTCCCCTTTTCCCTCCCCTCCTCCCCCTCCCTCCCTCCCTCTCCCTCCCTCCCTCCCTCCCTCCCTTTCTCTCTCCTCCTCTCCTCTCTTTTCTTATTTTTCCTTTTCTCTCTCTCCCCCATGTTTTTACTCATGATCAGTGATAATATGTGTCATTCTGAATGGTTAGAGAATTCCAATGCCCAAACATGAGGTTCATGGTCTATGCACCAATGATTTACCTTTTCATTGCACTCTTCACATAGATAAGCATTCTCTCCTTCCAACATCTCTCCTCTCACAAACTGCTCTAAAGAATCGTTGAGATTGTTTGACTTGACTGTCAGGTTCAGGGCAAAGAATTCTTCTTCCCTCTCTTTCCTAAAAAAAGAGAAAGATCATTAGATGATAATAGAATGATTGAATGTGATGCTATTGTATCAATTCTTTAGAATAGAAAGATGAATTCAGAGCCATAGCTTCAAGGACTGCACAACCTTCACAGGTGGACATTTTGATACTGCTCAGCATGCTACTGACGTCACCCACACTGGACATTATCACTTTAATACATGTATTATCATTGACTATGTGCTATAGACCAAAACAAATGTAGGAGGCATCAAGGAACTCTATCTTATTTCCTTGAACACCATGAAACAAAAAAACAAAAAAAGTTCAATTCAACATTCAGATTGTTTATCGAATATGATTGCTACACATCTGTACAAACCTAAACTGCTTACCTATGAGGGCAGTCTTGACATATCATCTGATTGAGATAGAGACCCTGGAATTTTTGTTTCATCACCTCTTTCTGACCGGATTTCTGCAACATTGACAAATAACATGATCAGATACCTAACGTGTGAACTCAATAAATAAGACTATTAAAGATTTTATTTTATAAACAATCTTCAAAATTTGTCTAGTTCCTTAAAATTCAATGCTTAAGTTATGCTGGATTTTCATTGTTATTCTTCTTTTTCTTTATTGTACATTTCCAAAAGGGAGTGGGTGTTACAACTAAGGAAAACTTTAACTACCCTTGAGGTTCCGATTCAACCAATTAGTGAATTTAGAGTATAGTAAAGATATCAAAGGCATGGCTGTGTGTTTGCATGATTTCAAAAGGGGAAAGTCCCAGACTAACCTGAAGGGGAAACACCTTTTAACTTTAGGGGAACATTTCTAACTAACCTTGAGATACTCGTACAGCTGATCAGTAAATATGGTAAGTCATAAGTCATGTCAGTGTGTTTGCATGATTTTAAAGAGGGGAAGACCCTTAGTAAACTTTGGGAAAATCCCTATTTAACCTTAAGGTACTTAGTAATTAAGTAAAGAAATCAAAGGCATCTTGTTGTTCTTGGATGTTGAGTGAAGTCTTACTTGAGGGGGAAATCCCTAACCAACCTCAACATATCTATCCAGCTGATTAGTGACTATGGTGAAGAAATCAAAAGCATCTTGTTGCTACTGAATGTAGAGTTTCTGTTTATATGTTAGCATGCTTTCAAAAGGGGGAACTCCCAAATGTATAGGGGGGAAATCCCCAACTTACCTTGAGGTACTCATCCAGCTGATCGGTGAGTATCGTGAAAAAATCAAAGGCATCTTGCTGCTCCCTGACGTTGACTGGTTCTCCCCAGAACTTGAAGACCTGCCAGAACCTCTCGGGTTCATAGTACTGTAGCTTGCTCTCCAGGAGGTGGCCAAAGACATTCTGCATCTGATAGAAGATGGTGTCCTCTCCCTTCTCTTTCTCAGGGGTGTGGCCAGCAAGGATACCCTGTGGATCATACAGCAATGGAGAGGAATTAGATGGAATTACAAGATGACTTTGCTTGAACTCCAATAATGCATTTTTACATTAGCCATACATTTGTTACTTTAATTTGAGTGATAGTGCAGTTGTACTATTGTGATGTGAACAAATACATTACAGGGTGACCTATACCTATGTGGCTGTGAACAAAAATTGCCTTCTTACATGTTCTCATTTTGTACCGTATGCTACCTTTTAATGTCTTTCATAGTCGCACAAAATGTATTTTTGAATCAATATTTCTTTCTAATCATCATTATAGGGATTATTCTAATGCCCTCTTGCAATAACCATATTGATAAATTCATCTCCCATTTCCATCTCATCATCATCATCAGCATCAGCATCAGCATCATCATCATCATCATCATCATCATCATCATCATCATCATCATCATCATCATCATCATCATCATCAGCATCATCACCACCACCACAATCCTTATCTTCAATCTTCTAACATCTCTGATGCCAGGGGTCATGTACAGCTGCCATATGACAGAGTTAATGTAGCATGTAGCACCTCCGTCTTCCTTCTTCTCCTCCTCCTCATCATAATCATATCATAATGACCATCCTCTTCCTCCCTCACACCATATCACATACAATATTAATCAATCATTTTACCATGACAACAATCCTAAGCTTTTTTAATCAACTCACCTCCCTGATGCCTGGAGTCATATACAGCTGCTGGATAACAGCGTTCATGTAGCATGTAGCACCTCCGTTCTTCAGACCAACATACTTGGTCATCCTACCTTCTACTGGTGGCAAGAACTACAAAAAAAAAAGAACAGGAGCAAAAAGAATCTCATCAGATATTATCATAAATATGGTGTTGCCTTTGGCAAAACTTCTCCATAGATGACATGAAACAAGTTTCAGTTGATGATCCAGGCTAAGCTTCTTTGTCTTAAATGTTACTGACCACATCTACATGTATCTAAGATTAGATCAATAATCATACGAGAGCTGAGACCAGATAAAATATGATGTACTATGACAGCTTTAATATGAATTCATGTTCATATCTCATTACAATATTAGGTACCTTTTGTGACATCACATGACCAGGGCCCCCGATGAATAAAACTTAGCATCAATTGTAACTTTGCCATTAATGGTAACTTCCATGGAAGCCTTGTTGTGATTGGCTGTTGAGTGATGTTACCATGGTAGTTAATATTGATGGCAAAGTTACAATTAAACGCCATGAACTTGCCACTTTATAAGAGAACAGCACTGAACAGGGACATACTTAAGCTTCTCATCTTGCAATCAAAAGGGTAACAGACAAATAAGCTTGATACTTAATTCATCATATTACCATGCAATGTTATGACATTTCACACTCAATTCACCTACATTGTTCTGTATTCTGTATCAAAATATCACTCAGGGGGAATCTGGAAAGAAATACATTTTTCACTTTAAACTTTCCCTCACACTCACTCAGCTTGACTTACCTCCCACTCTTTGGCAATGGAAGGGTCCAGTTGATGATGCATATTAATGAGCTGTGATGCAATCCTCTGTAGATTGTATGGACAGCCCTCACACAGTACTACAAGTAGCTCAAAGGCTGCTACACGTGATTCTTTGCCAGATATCCTAAAGAGAGAAACAAACAAACAATAAATAGTTTTGAACAATGATTTTTAAAATGGCAATGACAAAGAATAATTTACTTTATATCATGTACCTTCTTCTTCTGATTCTTTTTATTTGGTTTCATTTGGGGAATAAGTCAGAATTGACTATTTGTATTACATTGGTAGTATGTGATCGAGCCTAGTCGCAGGGCTGGGTCTAGGTGTACCCAACATAATGAGCACACACAAATCACGAACAACATTTGAACAATTTTTGTACTTATTTATAAGTGAAAACAACATAGTTAATCAAACAAAGTTATTGATAAAAGTAAGGGAGAAACAAGAGACAGTCAATGTGAACCATTTGAATGAAGATGTGAAAACTGTGAAAATAAAGTGAGTGCAAATTTTCCCCAAGAAACCAGTTAACAACATCTGTGCAAGATGTGAAATGAGTTTCAAAGAAAATATATATACCATGACACCATGACTAAACTGTGAAATCACATGTAAAGCATACACCCATCAAATCACAGTACAAACAAGCCCATTAATCTAGGGCTTTATATGGAAAAGAGCCCTTGATTATAAGCGAAGCATCTCAGCAGACTGGGGCATTTTTTCCTTTTTCATACAAATAAAGATAAAGCAAGAAAGGTGTACTATTTGAGATTAAAGAGGTACTGTGATTCAGAAGGATTTACTTGATTCTAAATCCCATACTTCTAATGGATTCTTTATAGTATTAATAATATATAGGATTTTTAAGGCGCCTAATCCACTTAAAAATTAAATGCTCAACGCATAGCTGAGAGTTCAACATTTCATAGGGTTAAAATGGCAAGCTACATGTACGTGTAAAGCACATGCACACCAAGGATATACAGTGAAACCTGTCTATAAAGACTACCCAAGAGACAAGAAAAGTGGTCTTTATAGGCAGGTGGTCTTTGTATACAGGTGCCTATAGTACATGTTTCAATGAGAAACATTTTAAAGGGAAACAAAAAATGTGGTCTTTGTAGACAGGTGGTCATTAAAGTAGGTTTGACTGTGCAACGGTTATCCTGATAGACCTGATTATATAAAACAGAAGAGAATGTACATTCTTAAGCTGGGGTAAAAATAGTGGAGCACCAAGACCGGAGTGTCAAGTCTGACATACATGAGAACTATACATGAACTTACTTTTATTATTAATATTACATGTACAGTCTCCTAAAGAGATGGACCATCTGGTAGAATAAAATATTTTGCATATGAAGGAATTGAAGACAACTGTAAACTTTTTGTGTCTTGCTGTATAAGTTTATGCAATGTACATTTATCAAAGCTTACATGCATACATATATGTGTACTTTTACAAGAAGGCCTACGTAATTTCCATTTATAAGTAATGTAAAGGGAAGTTGAAAACACTTAAAAATCAGCAATTCACATCATATTCATATGCAATGTTTTAAAAGATCAATATAGTGTTCAGCTTTTCACTAACCGAGCTGCAAAAGAAAAAAAATACAAGAATGGATTTACATGCTTGTACATGTTATTTCCTCTCTTTCAAAGTAGCCATAGATAATACACCGGCTTACTAACATATATTTATGGATGTTCCTTTCCTGGGGACCTAGTGAAGAATTATTCCATTAATCTGTTATTAATGAATGAACTAAAATACTCAGAATCCAGTCTGCATATAATACTTGTTGCTATAAAGGGTAAGCTTTCAGGTTTTTAAGAACAACTTATGTATAAAAAGCATGCATTAAATTTGAATATGTTAGTGAACTAGCTTATTATATAACTCTTGGCCATTTCTGGTATTCCCAAATATGGAGGAAATTAAAGAAAACAATGAGTGACAACGACAAATGTTAGAGAGTGAATAAATGGGTTTTATAGAGAAGTAGATCTCCAAGGCAGCCAGCCATAAACATAGAAAGCAGAGTGCTAGCATCTTAAAGGTAGAGTCACTGATTTCTAAAGATTTTTTTTTTAAACTCTCATCAAACTATTGAATAACAACGTCAAAGAGTTGATTAAAATATTAAAGGCACTGATTGTCTAAAATCTTCAAACACAAGACTTTATGTTCTTGAAAAGTTATATTCCTTTTTCATTTTGTTCTTCTTCTTATCATCAACAATACCTTCAAGATTCTTGTTTATTAAGTTATTATGGTTAAAAGAAAACTCCACTAGGACTACAAGTTGCTTTGAATAACAAAAAATCAGTATAACCAATTGGAAAAAGTGAAGAAAATCTCCCACTTAAAATGACAAACACCAATTTCACAAAGGGGTATAGATAGAAAAATTTGTTGCTGTTTGCAGCTGTAATGTCGTGTATGAAATTCATGTGCAGGGAACATGGGCAGCGTTCCACGAAACCGTCATAAGTACAAGTTCCCCTACATTCGATTGAGACGCGTGTATTGATAAGCATATCAATAGGATGTTGGTTAACTTGTACTTATGACAGTTTTGTGAAACAATGCCCTGGTTGATTAGAGATAACAGAATATCACAGGGACATGCCAAACCATGACTTCCAAAGCTTTCAAAATTTGTCATTGACCACATGTTGTTTTTTCTTCAAATTTTCATCTCTAAGTCAAAGTAACTCAAATTCTTGGTGAGCTTTGCCACAGAGTTTGACCTTGTGCTCAACAGTGATACATGGATTAGATTGCAAAGTGGGATATTAAAGGGTGAGCACTTACTTGTGTAAGTATGCGTGTCTCAAACCTTCACTCGTGTCAGAGTGGGGGATACTGAGGAAATACAGGCAAGTATTTATTGTCAACACTGAGAAGGTGTGCATAAGATAAGGAGTGCTACTTAAACACCTAGCAGGGCTTCTTATTTCTTATTTGTTCTAAACCACAATTATCACTTTAATTCTATGCTCTTGAGTATGACAGTTTGATGGTTAGAACTATGGGATGAGTACCTCAGTCAAACTTATAATGTAAAGTCTATCCTAGTCATAAAGGTTGGAAGTACTACTCTCTGGTTGCTGATAATTACAATTTGCTGTGTTTCATAGCAATGTACTAAACACTAGCTCTCAATAGCTAATTTTTGTTCCTATATTTCAGAGACTGGTTTGGTATCCAGACAATACCATGAGATAATTTGTACATACTAATATGTTCTACTACAACCACCCGCCCCAATGATTATGGGAGGTGAAATTAATGATATGAAACCAGAACCCAACAAATATGTTAACCCATAGACGTCTACATGAATAATTTGATAAAATTGTCAATAGAAATGGTAGGAAGTGCCACCAAACATACAATACACAGTAATTTGGTATTAGATTGGGGTCTCACAGCAATCAAACGAGAATTAAATTGGTGTTTCACAGCAACCAAACTTGAAACTAGATGTTTATCAACTCAGATTTTGTCACGGCAGTAATTCAAACATAGTTTGTTTGAAATTAAGTGTGCAAAATGATAGGAAGCTCACACCGATTATCACCCAATCGATTGAGAACCACTCTGTGAGTATGGTTAGAACTTACGCTGTCAAACTAGGAGATATCTATACTTCTGAATTTCACAAAAATCACATGCCTTATTACACAATGAAAAATATCATGCAATTTCTTGCTCACTAATATTATTATGTATCAGGCTATCTTCTTCTTTTAAGAAATACATGTAAAAAGTCCTACATACTATATGGAATCACAACATTATCAAGGCCTTTGATTACTTCCATGATTAAAAGGACAGGGTCTTACTTTGAATTGTAGTCTCTTCTCGAGTCTCCTTTCTCACTGTTATCTCCTTGATGCATGACGAGACGTGATGCAGGGAAGAGGTACTCGTTCAGTAGACTGTTCAGTAGTCTCTCACCTGTACACATAGAGAAACCAATGGATTAATCAAGGAATATTTAGTACGAGAACGAATTCATATGCATTAAAATAAGCAACAAAGGGACATGTGGTTGCACTGGTACAGGTGCATTTAGGTAACAGGGGATTTAAAGATAAAGTTGAGTTCTGGTCATGCGATTGCATTGTGAAAAAAACTGTTGTGGATCCGATTAGAAAAGGTTGATCATCTAGCATATAAGTATTGGTGTGTACTGCAAGGTTCTGGAATAATCAAAATGATAAGAAATTTGGCCCAGTCTGGTAAAGTTACAAGCACTGTACACAGAAAGATATATAAATCTGTCCCAATTTTTATGTAACATGCCATGATTTTCAGGGAACATTTTTTATCTGATGTTTTTCCGCACTTGCATTATACAATAACGCTCTCAAATTATTGTTCACCTCTTCCCAGAACCTAAGTTTCTCTTTAAAGAGATAAAGAGATCTTCCAATCTTCCAAACGGTTGTTTAGTGGTCTATCACCTTTCCTAGAGAGAACCCACTTTGATTGATTGATAGCTATCTATTTCATCTGGAATGTATTTCCTTTCAAGTTGTGCTGATTTATGTTTCAAACAAGTCAGAATAAGGGACTAGAAGGAATTCTCAAAGTTGCATTTGTGCAGCTGTTAAACCGTTCTTCACTCGTTATAATACCTCGTTCTATTTGGCAAATGGAAGGCATTTAAAAGTTCTTGCCGTAATCTGGAAATATGTGAATGTGTATTTTCTCATTTGAATTTTTCTGCTGAATTTGTTGTCAATTACACTTGAATGAATATGATGCATATACACCAATTCAAGAATCCTTGAAAAATAATCTTACCTATTTTCCTCTTGTCGACCCCCTCACATGTGAGTAGCGTCCTGATAAGATGAAGATGACCTGCTACGATGGTGTTATCTGTACTAGATAGGTTCATATCCTCAGAGTCTCCAGGCTCAAAGTTATGTAACCAGTCGATCTCATCACCAAGCATGGACACGATGTTGACCTTCAAGAACTTCTGCTCATTCACTGTAGATAATAAAAGCATGGAATCATAAAAGGTGGAAAATCCATTTAATTTTCTTTAAAATAGTCTTTGCTAGACTTATGCATAACTATAAGTTCCCATTGGAGTCTCTGTTTGAATCGATCTGTAAATGTACATGAATATCATACATAATAATAATATAATAACAATACAATATTCATAAAGCGCATAATAAACATAAGTTTCTGTATGCGCTTTACAAGCATAATGATGAGAAATATAATCACATAAAAGGAATCAACACAGAGAAATAGACAAATCTTATAACTACTAAAATGACTATAAACTTAACATAGTAAATAACATAATAAAGAGATAGCAAACCATATGCTACAAAGGTGTGACTATGATGTACTTGCCCCTCCGATGTCCCCCCCCCCCCCCCCCAACACACACCAGCATGGATCTATCTCAAGAATTGAATTATAGCTCACCCCTCAATCCCTCCAGAAGACGGCATCTCAACTCAAAGTACTGTGCGGACTGGTTCAGTATTCTGCATAGGAAAAATATCAAAACCATTTACTTTGAGAATAAATAAATATGTATTGGGTCACATGATTTCAATCCAAGTACAAATCAATGACATTACATCTAAAGATACCTCAAGGATAACAAATACAAAAGGATCTAAAGATAAACCATCAGTACATAATTTTGTCCAACCTACATGTACGATGACACTTATTGAGTAAATTTCAGCATGACAATAACTATATATTTCATAAATGGAGCCAACATATGACAACAGCTGGTCACGGTTGGCTCGGCTCAATTCACAAATGCAATTTTATTTCAATGCCCAATATCATTCATTCCAATTCAACTATCAATTCAATTCTATTTCAATCCACCCAATAACATTCCTTTCAATTCAATTATCAATTCAATTATTAATTCAATTTTGAATTCCATTCCCTGAATTGATGTCATACCTTTGGTTAGCTCCTCTAACCAGTGAGCTGGAGGTCCAGAGAGGCACTCGGGCCTGGAGGAGGACCTGGAGCACAAAGTCCCGAGGATGCAGGATCCTCACGCTCTCGTTACTGATGCTGGTGGAGGTGAGGGTGTAGAACTGGTCCAGGGCTGCACCCCTCACCTCAGGGTGGGGCGAGGAGAGGAGGATGTCGATGATGAAGTCATTCACTCCAGGCAGGGTATATAAGGCACCTTGGTGTTGGAGGTAGAGTTGAAGACAGAAATATTACAAGAAGAATATGCAGTCTAGTTTGGTGAGTATACATGTACACTCACCCACCAGTAAAATTTAGATAATCAACTTTTCCCATTTCCTCTTACTATTACTCTTCTTTCTCTCTTTTTCCAAATTTCCTGGTTTGTTACTGCCACTCACTTCATTTTTTTTAACCTTTCTATTTTAATGTATGTCTCTGTCTATCTGTCTGTCTGTCTGCCTGTATGTCTGCATGTCTGTCTGTCTCTCTCTCCCTCTCTCTTCCTATGTGTCTTTTTGTCTCTCTCTGTCCCTCTGTCTCTCTCTCTGTCTCTCTCTCTGTCTCCCTCTCCCTCCCTCCCTCCCTCTCTCTATCTCTTATCATCTATCAGTACCAACCTAGGTTATGTGTCCTAAGCTGGAGACAAGCTACAAGTAGTTCCAGAGCTTCCCTGGCTATGGCTGCATCTTTCCCACTGACAGCCGTAGTATTGAGACAGATCCCAGCATGTAATACCTGAGACTCGCTATCATGACTGGATGAACTGTTTGTACTCCCTATAGAAAACAGAAACATGAGGAAAAGAAAACATGAATATTTTTATTCAAATCTCAAAAACATATAAATCATCTAAGAAAGACAATACTGAGACACACAATATTTGTTAGTATATTCATTCCAAGGTATTTTTACAAATCAACGACTAGAAACAAATCTGACAATGGGGTGGATGGGGAGGTAAGGCATTTCTCTGAATAGATATATTAGTTGCTTTTTTGCCAATTCAGTGGTTGATACCACATAAACTACAAGTGATGCAGTTCAAGGAAGAGCTTGAATTCTTGTTGTGTTTCTGGTGACTTGTTGGTGGCTTTTGACCATCAGGACACATTAAACACAAGGTGTACACAACTTTATTAAAGTGACGGTCAAGGCTTAAATTGGAAAAGAATGGGAGTGCAGAAAAATTATCAATTACTGTCACTATTTGACTAACCTGCACTGCTATGCCTACTCCTCCTACCGATGCCCATAGCAAACCCTCCACCGGCCACCTCCTTGATGGGTTGGCTAGCGCTGGCTAATCTTAGCTGACCTGCAGCCGCTGCCCAGGTAACACGCATAAGACAGGCGATCATCGATGTGAAGTCATTGGCATTCATAGTCTAAAAGATAAAAGGATATCATTATGATATTATTGTGTGAGTTGAAAGACAACGACTACATGTAGCTTCCCTTGGTATAAAGTCATGGGTATTCATAGTTTAAAGTATAAAAGGACAAGATCACAAGTGGAAGCCAAAGTTTATGACCGACTTCACCATAATATGGTGACACTATCAATGTACATTTTGTGTGCTTGTAATGACCAGAGTATACTACTAGGGGGCGTTCACAAAGCCCTTTTTCAATGACAAATAACAAAAATCAGTGACAAATCTGCTGATAACCAATCAGAAGCAAGGATTTCAGTAGCTTATAACACAAATTGTCATTTGTCATTGATGACAAGTTTTGTGAAATGCCTGTCATGATAGTCCTTAGAACTTCATAAACAAAGTCATTTGATAACACAAGATGAAGGCAGTATAACTTTTAAATAAGTTTATCCACAAGTTTACAAATAATCTCTTTGCCTTTGCGAAAGTAAAACACTATAGTAATACCTCAGAAAGCATGCAGAAACATGTAAAGAATGATCCAGAAGAAAGTGATATTTGGCAATATGCTTTCTCAAAACTCTCTCGACTTTCATTTCGCAAACTCGCCTGAATGACTACCATTGCTACAAACAAGCCTTCCCTGTTCATTGGCCTCTATGACTGACATTGACTTAAGCCGTCCATACCATCACGGGATGTATGATGGCTTCTGTTTCACAATGGCTTGCCACACCTTCCTATCTTCTGTTAGCCTAGTGGCTTTCATCATTATTTTCTTTCATCTTACAAATTTATCTACATTAACTGCCTAATGCTCTTAAAGGTAAAGACCAGTTATGGTCATGCGATTGCATTGTGAAAGAAACGTTGTGGAATCGATCAGAAAAGGTTGATCATCTAGCATCTAGCATCTGCAAGGTTCTGGAATCATCAAAATGATAAGAAATTTGGCCCATTCTTCGTAAAGTTACAAGCACTATACACAGAAAGATGTATATGGGACTACCCTATATCTCTCACAGACCATGAGAGAAACAAATTTACCAAATATATGAATTAGTAGGCGGTTTCCTGGCAAATTTTTTATCATCATGTATTAGTCAAAACATATTCTTTCACATGATTGGTAATGAGAGCTTCCATTTCATTTTTTGAAATTGGGGTGTTTCCAATAGTGGTCTTTACCTTTAACTAAACATCTGTCTTGCCTACCTGAATGACGGTGATTGCCACCGAAGTGCCCTCTCTATTTGCTAGATCCCCACTGGCCTCTACGCTGGATATTCTTTCTAACAGACTCATCTTACGAGGTGAGCTTCCATAGCTAGATGAGAAGACAGTAGATGAATCTGCTCCAGAGTTATCAAAGACACTGCTGTCATTGAGTGACAGATCACTTTCCTTGAGATCAGTGGTCGTCTGTCCACATAGTAGAAACCTAGTTGGTGTGACAAGAACAATAAGAACTCTGAACTCATGCGATGCTTTCCAATTTAAGATTTTGAATGATTAATATACATGTAGGAGGAAATGATCACCATACTCAATCTTCATGATACAAGTAATCAACATTATCATTAACACAACCAATATGATGATCATCAAAACCATATCCATCATTATCGCCACCACCACCATAACTATTATCACCACCATCATCATCATCATCACCACCGCCATCACCATCATCAACAACACCACCACCATCATCACCACCATCACCATCAACATCACTATCATCATCACCACCACACCATTATCACCACCGCCACCATCACCAACAACACCACCACCATCACCACCAACATCACCACAATCATCATCACCACCGCCATTACCATCAACAACACCATCATCAACGCCACCACACCATTATCACCACCATCATAACCACCACCACCATCATCATCACCACCGCCACCACCACCACCACCACCACCATCATCATCACAATCATCATCATCATCATCATAACTATCATTGTGAACATCATCATCACCTTTAACACAATCTAAGTCATCATCATTGTCATCTCCATCATCACCATCATCATCAGTGAAGTAACAATACTGCTACCACCATGTCCATCTGTAATATTCCCCTGTCAACCCTTCTCACCTTGCTAACTGTAGACATATAGAATAACATCCCCTCCTGGTCTCATCATCAACATCTTGTGGAATGGAATCTTTCTGCAAGGCATTTATGACTAGACTCAGACCTCCTGCATTGAGGAAGCTCTCTCTGAAGTTCTGTGCGCTGGTTTGGGTACCGATGTCTTCCTGCATTGAAGGCATCAGCTTGCTACTCAGAACCTGTGAACAATCAAATACAAGAGGACATTTAATTGAATTGAATTGAAATGGTATTTATGAAAGAAAATGCTGTATAAAATATAAAAACAATATTCACTGTCTATCATATGATAAAGCTTGATGGTGTCCTTGATTTCAAATTGTTTTGAGGAAACCAAGAATACAATATTGACTAATTCAAGCAATTTTCACTTTCACTTTTTTTGAAGATGAAGTTGCCATGACAATTTGTGTTTTCTCCCACTACAAATAAAAATTGGAAAGTTTACAAACAAACTCTCTGACTTACACAAGAAATCACTGATTTCTAAACTAAAAATCAGTTTATGTAATAGTTGTGTTGTCAATAAAAAAATACACTGATATGCTTAAACTACAAACTCACAACGGAGCCAATCAAAGTTAAAGGAGGAAGGATTTGGGGCTCCAATTATCAGATAAAATAAACTGTACCTCAAGGTTGTAGAGCACTCTGAATGCTGACATGCCATGTGTACTGTTAGCTCTGAACAAACCCTCTAGGGTTGCCCTGGAAGAATCCTTGTTGCTTTCAGACCCTGACGTTTCTCCACCTAGACTAGTTACATTGTCTGAGGTCTGTGGGAAAAGAATCATAAGGTAATATTATAATAACGATGATGATGACGATGTTGATGTTGATGATGATAACTATGCAGTTTCTTGTGGTGGTGGTGGTGATTATTTTACCTGACTGCTAAGAAAGCATAAATGCTTGCTAGTAAGCAACCAGATGGCCGACGGCTTTAGGTCCCACATATTGAAGAAGAAGAAGAAGAAGAAGAAGAAGAAGAAGAAGAGGAAGAAGAGGAAGAAGAGGAAGGAGAGGAAGAAGAGGAAGAAGAGGAAGAAGAGGAAGAAGAGGAAGAAGAGGAAGAAGAGGAAGAAGAGGAAGAAGAGGAAGAAGAGGAAGAAGAGGAAGAAGAGGAAGAAGAGGAAGGAGAGGAAGAAGAGGAAGAAGAGGAAGAAGAGGAAGAAGAGGAAGAAGAGGAAGAAGAGGAGGAAGAGGAAGAAGAGGAAGAAGAGGAAGAAGAGGAAGAAGAGGAGGAAGAGGAGGAAGAGGAAGAGGAGGAAGAGGAAGAGGAAGAGGAAGAGGAAGAGGAAGAGGAAGAGGAAGAGGAAGAAGAAGAAGAAGAAGAAGAAGAAGAAGAAGAAGAAGAAGAAGAAGAAGAAGAAAATGATGATGATAACAATGATGATGATGATATCAATGATGATGAAGAAGAATAGGAAGAAGGCAATGATGATGATGATGATGATGATGATGATGATGATGAAGATAATGATGATAATGATCATGATGATCATGATGAATATGATCATGATGATGATGATCATGATGATGATCATCATGATGATGATGATCATGATGAATATGATCATGATGAATTTGATCATTCACAGATAAAAAATATTTGGTGCTGAGTCAATTAAATTGTGTGTATCAGAACCACTCATGAAAGTCTCATACATGCAAAAGTATCTTGAGTATTAAATTTAGAGTGGTCTCGTTCTAAATGTAATGCATGATGTAGTAATGTTCCATGGCCCCTAAAACAAGAACATAGAGAAAAGATCCTTGCACATACTGTATAGGTATGTTTCCACAGCGTAATTTTTTTAAGGAGATACAGAATGCTAGCTTACCTGTCTACATATAGAATCCAATGATTCCGGTATCGATGGATCCGTGGGAATCATCATGAGAAGTTTCCGAACTCTCTCTGTTATCCTGTAAATTTATTGAAACACAACTTTCATTTAACTTCAAACTTCACATTTTGACATGCTTATATAAAAATAGTACTGAATAGGGAGAAAAGGTATGTACTATTGTAGTAGTACCCCAAAGAAAGTATATTTGATCATAAATCTCTTACATTGTGTATACTTCTTAACTTGAAGAAAGACAAGTTGATCGACATCCATATACCTGAGAGTGATATTTGACTTTTTATATTTATCTAATCCATCTCTTTATCTTTTCCTTACATCGTAATAAATATTGGAAACACAAACCTGTACAAAGGCTTCACAATTTATTGGTAAGATAATCCGTCTTGGAACAGGGTATTTGACTGTTTCTACAGATGATCCATGTTAATATTTATCTAATCAATCTCTTCATACTTTTCTTGCAGCATAAATGAATATTGGAAACACAAACCTGTACAAAGGCTTAACAATTTATTGGTAAGATAATCCGTCTTGGAACAGGGTATTTGACTGTTTCTACAGATGATCCATGTTAATATTTATCTAATCAATCTCTTCATACTTTTCTTGCAGCATAAATGAATATTGGAAACACAAACCTGTACAAAGGCTTAACAATTTATTGGTAAGATAATCCGTCTTGGAACAGGGTATTGGACTGTTTCTACAGATGATCCATGTTAATATTTATCTAATCAATCTCTTCATACTTTTCTTGCAGCATAAATGAATATTGGAAACACAAACCTGTACAAAGGCTTAACAATTTATTGGTAAGATAAGCAGTCTTTGAACAAGAAGATATCACACATGCACTACATCGGCACATTGCACTCTGTGATAAAACAAGGCTTTTTTTTTCCTTCATTATTTTAGCAGACAAAAACCAAACTAAACAATGTTATTATCAAAATACCTTGGTTCATCTATATCGGCAGTTTGATAGAGCATGTCAAAGACTTGACCACCAGTTGCCATGACGACACCAGGTAACGAACGCTCCAGCTCAGACTGCTGTCCAAAACTTGACATGTTCTAAAATGGAAAATCAGAAGAAGTACTATCATTATATGCAAATTCAACTCAATTAGTGAGCTGCAGTTGAATCATTTTCTCATGTCAAAACTTAATTGAAATATAAAAGAGAATGATGCATGATTCACTGTATATTAAATTTTGTTGCATTCTACAAGCCCCTTATAAAACAGAATAATTTGCAACTGTTTTAATGGAATTTCTTTTGCCATACATAATAAATGGTAAATTTGGAGGAAAATAAGCTTACTTGCTCCTGAACTACGGAACAAAGGATTGTGTGTGAAACTTTTTTTTACCTTGAAACTGAGATATTTAATCATTATTTACAACGATGAATACAGATCCCATCTACTTTACTTGCAGGCAAATGAGAGAGTATTATAGTCTAGTAGCTCCAATTATTTTCCCCACACTATGGAACATACATAGGAGTGTGTGAAGCTTCTGATTTTGAAACTGAGACGTTTCATTTCTAATAACGATACTGACTACTGACCTCATCGATGCGGGCACTATTGCTGACCGTTGAGCTGACCGGTCCATGAAGCTTGATGTTAAGATCTTGCTCCTCATCAAACTCAAGTTCAGATAACAGCTTCTGATCCTTGGTAGTTAGCATCTGTAAAGTAAGTACAACGATTGAAGGATTAATCCACGTTTGCTAAAAAGCAAGATATGGATAGTTGGTTAGCTTCCAAAAATTCATTTGGCCCAATACGGACTAAGTTTAAAAGGACTGTACCTTAACAGAGTAGTTTACCTGTGAGTTAAGTTCATGTAAATGCTTGTAAATAAGCTCTAGAGATCTACAGCGCTTGAAGTTTGATCCGATGCACAAGAGGACAGATGGGTTACTCAAGGGATTAGCCCAAGTGAACGATAGTGATTATACACTTGTAATTTCCTGTACACAAAGCCGACAGTCTTTCACTTAGGTCACGAGAAGTGACTATGGATAAAATGCCTTGCCAGGGCACAAAAGCATCAGACAGGGGTTCCATCCCTTAACCCTATTTAGCTGGGGGGGGGGGGGGCTTTAGCCCCCCTCGACATTTTTCGCGATAATTTTTTTGACGCGAGAAAATCTTGCACTGAAATTTTGTGACTTTTTTCTTTCAAGTCGTGCGCATCTTTTGAAAGAAATATTTTCGAAAATCGAACCTACCATTACAAAGTCACGTGTCCTTTTGTCTTTGCATGTCAGCCCGAAAATCGCTCATTTTTGTGATTTGTGAACAAAACATATGGAAATCTCATTTTTCAAATAAAGAGATAAAACATTGGTTATTTGGTCTTGTTTATAGTTTAGGTGTTTATTTTGGGGTCAAAATAGTTGAATTATAGTTGGAAAGAAAATAAAACAACAAAAACAATGAAATAATAAGTTTAAAAAACAAATAAATACATAAGAAATTATCAAAACAATAGATAATATAAGGAATAACCCTGGTTATTCAATTTTTTGTGTTGTATTATTATTCCAAATGGTCTAACAAATATATGTAGTGAAAAAGAATGCTTAAATATGAATAATGTCTGACTTATGGGCAAAAATGTGAATTTTATGACCTTATTTGCATAAATTACCATAAATATGCAAATGAGTAAATTTTTCAAAAAATTGAAATTACCATAGTATTCTATACACTTCACTTGACATGTATGCAAATTTTCGCGGCGATCGGTCGTTACACGGCCGAGATCATAGGGGGGGGGGGCTTTAGAAGCCCCCCCTCCCCCCCCCCCTGGACTATGCAGTTACAAAATAGCCCAGGCTAAATAGAGTTAACTTCTTGATTGTTAGCCAAGTGATAGAACCACACAACACAGTGGTACTGACATCACACTACTCCTACTTGGAGTAAGAGTGTGTATAGGATCCTATAATAGGCAATTAACTACTGTTGGTGAAGGTGATGGGACAAACTATCACTTTCGAGGCGATCTGGATGTAGCTATCTTTCCGAAGCGAAGCTGAGGAAAGATAGCGTATACATTCAGATTGCCGCGGAAGTGATAGTTTGCCATCGTCTGAAACCAAAAGGTGATTATTTGCTTTACAGTGTACAGTGTATATTCCACATTGGAAACATTTCACTTCTTCCTTTTTTTCTAGAGCAACAAGTCATCAATTAACATCTAGTAAACGGTGTACAAAACGTACAGTGTATGCAGTATGATGGTGCAGTGTGACCATAGCTCGCACGTGACCACAGTTTGCATACTAACACTAAACGTGTTTAAAGAGGAGAGCAATACGCAATGTAGATGATTAAAGTGTGTTGCAGTGTGTAGATAGGACTTCTATCTTCCGTGAAAGTGCGTTGCACTGTGTAGATAGTAGCCTATCTACACAGTGTAACAAACTTTTTGCTTCTCCCAGCAATTCTCGCTACCCTAAATAGGAACGAAAATCTCGAAATTCGCGAGACGAGGTAATTTTCACTCTCTCGGGTCGTCACTACAACTTCCGGTATAGAGTCCCATCCCGCTGGCGCTAGCGCCTGTGTTCGCTGTGCAGAGTTTTCACGCACGCTAAAATCGATGCCAATCAGTGTAATTTGTACAGATTATAATATGCAATGGAAAGCTTCGGGCAGAATTAGTGACTTTAGCACAAAAGGCCGTTAAACTCTACCGTGAAAGAGAGGGTTGTGATCACGAACGCCTGCACAGGAAGCTGTAATGTCGAAAAGCTATCCCATAATGCAATGCGCGTTTTCAGGATTTTCCCCGGATCTCGGCAGAATCGCTATTTGGGGTAGCGAGAATTATGGGCGAACTATCTTTCATCACGTGATTTACTTTTGACCAATCGTAGAGCAAGATTCTTATTATGTGGAATATAAAAACCTTTATCAATTCTATGAAGACATTTCTTTTCACCACTTCATTAACAATCAGAATCACGAGCCCAGTGCATTGTTTTTTCTTTTTCTTAAAATGCATAGAGACATGCAATTTTGCCTATATGTTATGCGCTATATAAAAATGTTTAATTATTATTATTATCATTAAGAGGTACTTACCAGGCGATCATGGGCCATAATCTGTACATTGTCTAGTGTTGTCTTGAGACGCTGTGCTATCTTGTGTCTTACACTCTGTAATGTTTCATTGCTGTGACCCTGCAATATAAAATGATTACATCATAATTAATGAAACATCAATAAATAAACATCGTGCAATTTGAACATATCTAGAAAAGCATATTTTGCTAGTAATAGTATCTATAGTGTAGTTTGTTATACAAGTACGTCCAAAATCGAAATGTCTCGGTTCAAAGGCACGCTGAACTAAACTAATGCAAACAAAGCGACAGCTATATGTTTGAATATTACAATTGAAGTCCATTGAATTCTCTGTGAAAAGCCTCTCAAAGAAATTGGATTAGTGTTGAAAGCAAATGTGTTAAGAACACACAAGTCTCCTACATTAATTTTCACTTGCATAAGGACCAATCTCCAAGATAAAGATGTAAAATGGGGGCCCAGACTCTGAAAATCATATTTCAAGTATTCAGAAATTTTTATTTTGGTACAATAAAAGAATCTATAGGATTTAGCTCATAGCCTGCCATAAGGCTGCATGCACGCTACCGTTATAGTGCTTTGTACATGCGGGCGAGCCATTGCTTCAATGCCTGGTGCATGCTTGCACGCATTCGTAATAGCAGTTATTGTTCATGCTCATTGGACTGTGCTGTGTGTTTTGCACGCGCTATTCATAGAACCATCACGTTAATCAGATTATCTCAAAATAAACTTGGCACGGAGGGATTTGGGGCTTGGCACAATGGGGATTAGCCATGTGGCATGATAAGAGTTAAAAAATAGAATTATTATCTTACCACTATAACAAACTCACTACGATGCGAGTCTGTACATGTGACATGCATTGTGATGGTATGACCCTGGAAGGATGCACCATGTGGAAGGATTGTGCGTGGTGATGTGAACTGATCTTCAACAGTCACGACGTAGGTCTCCGCTAGCTGCAGAAGCCTCTCGATTTCCAGTAGCTTACCCGCCCTGTCATGATGAAATAAATGAAACTCCACTAAAACAAATAGTACAATAAAATTAATGATCTGAACTTGTCCTCAACAGCCACTAAGTAGGTCTCAGCTAAGATAAGTATAGATTATGGAGCCTGTACTGCCTTCCCTGAATATACATGTGATTTTTCAAAAAAGTTTCAGGGAATAACCTTTTTATCATCTTAGAATTAGTAGCTACAGTACATAGGTTTTTGTTGCTTAAAGGAACCACTGTATTTCTAGCAATGTTGTAGTTTACTCAGCCAACCTTCGTAATTTAATCAGCAGAATATTATTCAAAATTATAGTAATGTGAACTGGTTTAAAAGATCAGAACATAGATCTTTGCTAGACGTACAAGCCTCTAAATGTATAGTTGCTGACCTGCCCTGTCATTTTTCAAAATGAAGAAAACCAATCATGTGCATTATAGAACCAGTCATGAGGAATATAAGGTTTTCAATGTCCGGAAGCAAAATATACAACATTAAGATAAAGGATCTTCAAGCAACCTAAGGCATTTTATGAGTAACGTTTACAAATTCTCTTACCTTGATGGACATGGTACAATGGCTGCCTCGGGCACGGACACTGCTGTCAACGTCTTAGTTGCCATAGCAACAGCCTCTGCCATGGCTGTACCTTTGACTGCCATGTACGCCAGCTCAAGACGTTTGTAACACTCGGAGATGAAATGCTTATGAAGATCAAGCACATCCTACATGGCAACAAATCATAAAAGTTGAAAATGAATTATTTTTTTTATAGGGAATATTATTGAGGAATTTGTATGATAATATTTTATCATATAGCAAAGTTTGATCTACAAGATACCGATTCAAATTGTCGACTTGGGAAACATTTTTCTATTGAGAAATAATTTATTGGCAAAAAATACACATGAACAGAGACTTAGTTCAAATCTTTCGAAAAATGCCAATACATATGGAATTATATTATTTAGTTTTGTACTTTCAAGATGGTGCCAATTTCTGGATTTTTATGTTCATGTTTATTTGCCAAATAGCAAAGCATTCAAAATAAGCATGAGGTGAAAAGATATGTTTGTGTGCTTTCTGCCAATGCATCAGGGCTTGTTTTATAAAACTTGTTATCAATCACAAGTTACAAAAACTGTTATAAGCTACTGAAATCAAGGCATCTGATTGGTTGAGAGAAAATTTGTCATAGAAGCTTAACATTTGTTTTATGAACCAGAGCCCTGGTATATGTTTAGGGTTCTGAATTCAATGTTGTTGAGCCAAGACACTATCGACCAAGGATCTTTTACCTTTTTAAGTCTCTGAGCTAGATTGGTATAAGACATGCTCATGATCTGTCTGATAGCCATCTCAGCGATGGATTCGTTGGTAGACTCTAGAACCATCTTCCACATGAAATCAAGGCCAAACAGGTCCAGCTTCTCAACAATCTGAAAGAGTAAGTACCACAAGAGAGAAGAAATAAATGCAGTTTCATTTTCTGTCATCAAATGGGTTCAAACTAATGTGGATAATCAAAATCGGATATGAAGTATGGATAATCCTAATGATGAATCACATAACTGATATATATAGAGGAGCTTGCTTAAAGAGAAGGTTGAGTTCTGGGGAGAGGTGAAAAATAATTTGTGAGTGTTTTCATTGTTATTGTGCAAGGGTGGAAGAACATCAGAGAAAAAAGGTTCCCTGAAAAGCATGGCTCTTTAAATGCCTTCACAAGGAACAAATTTTCTGTTTCCCTTGAAAATGGTTTCTCATTGAAACATGTACTATAGGACCTGTACATTTATTTATTTATTATTTATTTCACATCTTTAAAAAGGGTAGCCCGATCAGCATGAGCTGGTTTTCATCAGGGCCCTTTACAACATACATGGTTCAATAATAATGTCAATCAAAACAACGATAAATGCACATTATAATATGAGAGATAATTCGGACATGCAATAAAAAGGCGATACAGTACATTTCATAGTATACGAAGTTCAAATTAAGATAAGGTATGCTATAGATATTTATAAAATTGTTGCGAATATTTCAATGTTAAAAAAAGTTTACCGTCACCATTGAGTAATTATAAAATGTATACAATTAAATACTTTCCCAGTTTATAATTAAAACTATTGTAAACAAACAACAACAAAAACCCACAATTAAAATATATATATATATACATGTAGTTGACATTTGTACGCAATAACACATAGTATTAGGTTAAAGTTAAAACAAAGTATGGTATAAATATCAAAACAAATTATTGCAATATATTCCAATGTTAAAAAAGTTTGCCGTCACCATTACGTTATACCATATATACTATTAATACTTTCCCATTTAATAATTTAAACTATTAATTATAAAAACAAATAGTTGACATATTATGCACATAAATATAATAACATGCATATGTTAGTATCATAATCAATTCATAACATGGTATTGCTTAAGTACATGAAATACAATTTCAAAGATTCCTTGATTGAGGTTTAAAAAAAAAAAAAAAACATCAATGATAATGTTGTTTAGCATATTGATAAAATAAGTAAGCAAGATTCATTATTGGCGTGTGCTAATTAAAATAAAATGTTAAAGGAGATTGCAGCATTCATATTGCACGGCAATGAACAAGAGCGTTCCAGACTCAGTGTGATAAATTGCTTTTGAATACGTTCAGATTGGGGGAGAACCTGGTTTCTATGGGTAGATTATTCCAGAGTGTTATTGCAGAGTTTACAAAGGAGCACTTAAAAAATTCTGTATTGCACCTATTGGATTCCAGCTTAAGTTGATGGGAATTACGTGTCATGCGTTGTGCTACATCATCATGTAAAATAAATTTGTTTGCCAATAAGGCAGGTGCAAGATGGTGAACACATTTAAATGCCATAATCCCCATTGCTCTTGAATACAATGCCTCAAGTGTTGACCAATTAAGTTGTAATAAAACCTCGTGTGAAGGAGTTGACCACGAACATCCAGATATAATATATGCTGCTCGTTTATGTAATTTATTTATAGTTTCATAATTATGCAGGGATCTATTTGTCCACACAGTGCAGCAGTACATAGCATGAGGTAGAATATAGCCCCAGTATATCATACTCAGATAATGTTTATTGAACGTGCCTTTGAGTCTTCTTAGAATACCTAATTTCTGTTTCATTTGTAAAGCTACTTTTTCGACATGCTTCGAAAATAAGAGATTGCTGTCTACTATAACACCGAGGCATTTGTACTGTGTCACACATTCAATCGGTGTTGTCTTTATACGCACATTTAAATTATTTTCGTTTAGCGTCTGTAACTTTTGCTTCGACCCAATAACCATTACCTTTGTTTTAGTAGTATTCAATAGAAGTTTATTTTTTTGCGTCCACGAATACACTTCATCTAAAGCAAGATTTAGTTTCGTTTGGATCTCAGATAATGTTTTGCCTTGTACCGACATGGTCGCGTCATCTGCAAATAAAAACATGTCCGCACTATGAATACTAGTGGGCAAGTCATTAATAAATATCGAGAATAACAATGGCGCTAAGACAGAACCTTGGGGTACACCGTAATTAATTGTTCTCGTTGATGACTTTTTACCTTTAATAGACACAAACTGGCTCCTGCCTCCTAGATAGGACCGAAACCATTTTATGGCTCTATCCGTGCAACCAACGTTTTTTAACTTCATTAATAGAGTTGAGTGATTCACTGCATCGAATGCCTTCCTCATATCAATATACGCAACACCGTTTAAGTTGCCTTTGTCCACGTTTTGGGCCCATAAATCTACCATACAAAGCAGGGCAGTTTCGCATGAATGGTTGGGGCGGAAGCCAAACTGCCTTTCTGTTAATATCTTATTTACTTTTAAATATTCTTGAAATTCCGTGTTCACAGCTTTTTCCAGTATTTTGGATGGTATGGACAATAACGAAACTGGTCTATAATTTTCAACGCTGAGTTTACTTCCAGCTTTATAAATAGGTTGGACTCGTGCGATCTTCCATTCATCAAAAACTAGATGGAACTTCGACTGCGCGCAGTCGAAATGATGCCTCCGTCATAGAGCAATTTTACAAACCAAAACAGAAGAAATTGTTCAAATTCAAGTTCAATTGAAATCCATTAACAGGTTCTCAGAATATCGTGATTACAAGCAATTTCTCATATACATATATGACCCTTTGATCTTTGACCACATGACCCTAACATCTACTCAGTTCATTGGCTCTGCAAGATGTCCCGAGTTAAATAGTAATCCATCTGTCAGTTCTAATGAGAATGCGTTCACAAGCTATTTTTGCATACATAATGAGCCCATGACCTTTGACCTTTGACCTCATGACCCAAGAATCTACTCAGTTCATTGGCTCTGCAAGATACATACATGATCTAAGTTTGGGAGGAATCCATCAATCTGTTCTAATGATAATGCGATCACAAGCTATTTTTGCATGCATAATGAGCCGCATGACCTTTGACCTTGACCTCATGACCCCAAAATTTAATCAGTTCATCGGCTCTGCAAGTAACATACATGACCTAAGTTTGGCAGGAATCCATCAATCGGTTCTTCAGATAACGCGATCACGAGCTGTTTCAGCATACATAATGAGCCCTATGACCTTTGACCTTTGACCTCGTGACCCCAAAATCTAATCAGTTCATCGTCTTTGCAAGATACATACATGACCTAAGTTTGGCAGGAATCCATCAATCGGTTCTTCAGATAACGAGATCACGAGCTGTTTTTGCATACATAATGAGCCCTATGACCTTTGACCTTTGACCTCGTGACCCCAAAATCTAATCAGTTCATCGTCTCTGCAAGATACATACATGACCTAAGTTTGGCAGGAATCCATCAATCGGTTCTTCAGATAACGCGATCACAAGCTGTTTTTGCATACATAATGAGCCCTGTGACCTTTGACCTTTGACCTCGTGACCCCAAAATCTAATCAGTTCATCGGCTCTGAAAGATACATACATGACCAAAGTTTGGCAGGAATCCATCAATCGGTTCTTCAGATAACGCGATCACGAGAACGGGACGTACGTACGGACGTACGTACGGACGGACGGACAACCCGAAAACATAATGCCTCCGGCTACTTCGTAACGGAGGCATAAAAATTCCCTGATCCAAAGATGAATTAAGTATATAAGTAAGGCTTTGTATTACATTTTGAGAATTGCATGCAAATTTTAGTAATTTTATTGAAACATCGTCTGGGCCGGTGGCTTTTTTAATTGGGATACGTTCGATTTCCTTCATAACAAATTCATCTGTTATAACTGGGAGATCAAACGAATTGACTGGAGGAACGGTATCAACAGTATCGCTGTGTACAGATGGTTCACTAGCTCTATCAATGGTGGAGTTGTTAACATCATTTTCAAAGTTAAGAGGATTAAACATAGTATCAACTGCGTCCACAAAGTAATTGTTAAAGTGATTGGCTATCTTCTCGGCATCAATTACTTCTTCACCATCTACTTCCAGTTTAAGGTTACTCTCTTTTTTAGATGATGATATGAGTTTCAAAGTTTTCCACATGGCGTTAGGAGTTCCGCCGTTCTCATGGAGTAGAGCATTTATATAATCATTTTTGGCATTTCTGATCATACACGTAATTTCGTTTCTTAATGACTTGTATTCTGACCAAAATTCAGAGCTATCGGGATTGCTAGGCTTAGTTGCCATTGTGTAAAGCCAATCACGCCTATTCATGGCCTCTATTAAATCGCCAGTAATCCACGGGCACAACTTGGATCTAATACGTTTACTCTTTACTGGTGCGTGCTTGTTGACGGCACTTATGAGCAAGTCAACCCAACATTGCCAAGCATGATTTGGATCCTTATCATTTAAAATCTCGTTGAAAGGCAAGTTCTGTAACATGGTGACAAAATTATCATTAGAAAAATGTCTAAAGCATCGATACTCAATAATATTATCATCATTCTTTTGCTTGGCCCTTGCATATCCAAAAACAGTGAATATTAGATAATGATCACTTATATGAGTCTTCACCACTCCCGTGTGTTGGTGTTCCTCTGGGATGGATGAAAATACGTGATCGATCAATGACTTTGTGTGGGGCGTAACACGGGTGGGTACACTAATGAGTTGATGTAATAGATTAGTATCCATTAATGACAAAAGGGCTCGGGAAAATGGAGTGCAGATTTCTGGTAATAAATCACAATTAAAATCACCAATAATTATGATTTCTCCTGCATTCTCACTGATCGAGTGAATTATTTCAGATAGCTTATCAAAAAACTCATTTGGTGAATTCGGAGGTCTATAGACAACTCCCAGATACAAAGGATGTGTTTGTTTTTGTTTAACTTTGACAAAAATTACTTCTAGTTCATTATCAAGTTGACTAATAACTTCGAAACTTATATTATTTTTTACATAGAGCGCTATGCCTCCTCCGTGTCTTGATCGATCTTTTCGAGTTACACAAAAATTATCTAATGATATATCTAAATCCGTAATTGTGGAATCACAATGTGTTTCTGAAATTGCAACAATGTCAAATGGATCGTTACCTAGAAGAATTTTCAGTTCATCCATTTTGTGTGGGAGAGAGTTTATATTTATATGACATATCTTTAAACCGGTTGAACAGAGTTCCGGAATCATGCCATCAACAAGTTCATAATATCCTTGTGTATTTGTCACATTGTGTCCTTCATTTAGTTCACTTTCATCCTTGGAAGCTGTAGTTTTTTCAATTTGCGTTTGTTTCTCATTGATGTTTATTACATTTGTAGCGTTTACATTAAGATCCTCCGCGTGAAGACTTAAATTATCGCTATCATCTATTGCTGAGCTTGACGATTCAGGAGCGTGCGGGCCACCTGCCTATAAAGACCACTTTTTTTGTCTCTCTTGGGTGGTCTTTAAAGACAGGTTTCATTGTATATAGATGACATGTTTGTAATACAGTCAAACCTGCTTTAGTGACCACCTGTCTACAAAGACCATATTTTGTGTTTCCCGTGAAAATGGTTTCTCATTGAAACATGTACTATGGTATGACCTGTACATAAAGACCACTTATCTTGTTTCCCTTGGGTGGTCTCTGAAGACGAGTCTCGCTGTATATCACATGTTGGTGATACCGACCAATATGAAACAAACACAAAGAAATGATAGTTACCAGTCCTGTAGCACCCTTGCGTAGACTGTGATTGTTTGTGTTGATAGACTCAAAGAACGCTCGTACACAGTCAAAGCCCATGGGTGAGAGGTGGGTTGATTCTAGTCTGAGTAGCTTATCCTTGAAGAGCTGCATCTGTGTCTCTGTCTCCAGGTCCGCTAGACCATGACGGAACCACTCATAGCATGTCTGATAGGAGAGGATGGGATCAATCAAGCACATACGAGTCACTTCTAAAAATAATAATAATAATAATCTTGATGTCTTGTTTACCCAGGGTAGCCTCATTAGTATACATACTGTTCTCCCCGAGGGCCCTGCAATCATATCATTACCCAGCTTTAGCCGAGCTACCAATAAAAGGTGCTCAAGCATTCAAGGAATTTCTTCCTACCGGGCACCCATTTACCTCACCTGGGTAGAGAATGGCAAATGTAGATTAATGTCTTGCCAAAGGACATTCTGACACACCATTCTATCCTCTTGTGGTTCGGTTAGATAAGAGTTGGTCTTATGATCAGCCATTTAACTCTTCCCATCAAAGCTAATGTTTTGTCATCTCTGTACACCCTTGATCATCTTCAAAAACAGATAATCATATAGCTAAATGTATGATGTCCCAAATACAACTACCAAGGGAAGCTCAAGGTACCTACAAAGTACCACTATTACCCTAGCTTTACCCAAGCTGTCCTGATGTTCTAGGAAAATTCCAGGAATTTCTTCCTAAAGGTATCTCTGTATATCACCTGGCTGAGAGGCAAAACGTTACATTTCTACAAAATACAATGACAATTTAACCATGACAAGATAAAAAAGAGACAGGGATCTCAATTCATGGGACAGTTTGACTATACTTACCTCTCTGTCTGCCTCACAAGCTTCTGGGTTCGCTACCAACGTATCCCAGATCTCCCTCGCTCGATGCCACTGGAGATAGAGGGCGCCCTCTTGTAGAATGAATGCAAGGAATTTCAGATGGATCTCAACATGCTGATAACAAAATGAAAACATGTGAAAGACAATTGTAAAGAAATCTTGATGGAATGAAGGTAATATATAGTCCTGGTCGAGCTCACTGATTTGGTGAAAATGTTTTTTTATAAGTGCATGTAAGTGGTCTAATCCGAACCTAATAATCAGTTTTCTTCAATTCTTCAATGAGAGGACAACATAGGTTGGGTGTATGTTTCTACATTCCCCACATGTTAAATGGGGAACGGTAGGAAGGAATTCTTTTTATGCTGTGAGAAGCGATATCAGTAGCCTAGCAGTTCCGGGGTAATATTGGGGCGGCTTCAGCACCTTGCATGGTGGATACGTGCGCTTTGAAAATATCCAAAATTATTGTTATTATTATTCATGATTTCCTGTTTTAGGATCAAAACAACAATTATCACCTAGATGAAGGTCAGGATATCGTTTCACGAAACCGCCGTAAATACAAGTTCACCGACATCCCATTGAAATGTGTGTTAATCGCAATACATGTGTTTCAATTGGATGTTGGTGAACATGTTCTTACAACGGTTTTGTGAAGCGCTGCCCTCGATACTAAGTTGGCAAATGAAGCCTTACCTCACAATGTGTGTACTTGCCATCCACTATAGTACTACCAGACAAGCCATCCTGCCCAGCTGCATTGATAGCCATCTTGTGACATTTCATGAGACTCTGTGTGGTCAGCTTGATGATGTCATACGTCTTGTTCAGCTCCTGGGGTAAACTCTGCCAAATACACACCACACCAAAGTAGGGTAATAATAACAATGATATTCTGGATCTATATAGCACTTTGTTTAGCTCCTGAGGTAAACTCTGCCAAATACACACCACATTAAAGTAGAGTAATAATAACAATGATATTCTGGATCTATATAGCCCTTTGTTTAGCTCCTGAGGTAAACTCTGCCAAATACACACCACACCAAAAAGGGTAATAATAACAATGATATTCTGGATCTATATAGCCCTTTGTTTAGCTCCTGAGGTAAACTCTGCCAAATACACATCACACCAAAAAGGGTAATAATAACAATGATATTCTGGATCTATGCTACATCTTATACATCTATGGTGTCTATAAGCTTAAAACAAAGCACTTCTGATACACTTTGTCCATGTGGGGACATCTGTCTCATTTTATCACTCTTTCAAAATTTTACAGAAAAAGGATAAATTTAATTGACAAATATTCTGAATCTATATAGCACCTTATACATCTATGGTGTCTCCAAGTGCTTTCCAGATGCATTATTACCCTAGTCACCAGATTCAGGCTTGTCCATATACAATATACATATACAATATACATATACAATATACATGTACACATATGCAACTTTTCCACTCCAAAAGGAGCATTCCAACAAGGTGCCTGTTTACAGACACTCTTATGCTAAACAAACAACATTGCCTTTTGCATCCTACCAGAAACACATTTAATTGAGAGAAGCAATGCAAATAATATGTTTTCCTTAATGACATAAGAGCCAAGTTGATAGAATAAGATAAGGCTTCAAGAGCTTACAGTTCACTGCTTCTTATAAAATGAAAAATAAAACAAATAAATTACATACATGTATCAAAGGATACAGTATCATCAAGAGTACTTTGTACAAACAATGATTATACATTAAGAACTGATCCAAATGGCATACCTTATCAGTCTTGCTGTAGCTCTGTTTGGTGATACCCTTGGCTATCTGGTGAATCTGTCTCAGGGCTGGTACTACGAACTGACACTGTTAAGTAGAGGACACAAAAGTGTTGAGCTTAAAACAAAGGCACTTCTAGATTCCGTAAGAAATCACAATGATTTAAAACAAATTTAAGATTTCTCTTAAAAGGAAATGAAAATGTTGAGCTTAAAACAAAGGCTCTTCTGATACACTTCGTCCATAAAGGACATCAGTCTCATTTTATCAATCATTCATCACTTCATGAAAAAGGATGAATGTAATTGACAAATGATTTACTTCTCCAGTTTTAAGAAATTTAGAGGACAATACTGCAGCTTAATGCACCTTAAGGCATACTGAAAACATGATATTAAGATGGTATAAATATATGTTGTCATTATCATAAACCATCTTTCTATGGACAAGACAGACACCATTAAGTACTTTTCATCCAATACAGATGGTATCTTTTTTATCAAAAAGAATTGCCAAAGGATTTCAGCACTTTCTGGAGCTTTCTTCTAAAAGTTTATGAAGACAAATTTCTAACAAATGAAAAACATTCTTACTCTCTTAATGTCCTTCACATGATTTGGGACATATCTATTCTTGATCTGATCTTCTATAGCCAGAGAGTGACTAACGATGAATAGATGTTCAACAACAACTACAAATTTCTAAAATGATATCGCTAGTGACATTCGTTTGTCTCGCAATGTACGGTCAACAAGGGATCTAAAAGATCACGACGTTTCGTGTGCCGTTGCTACACTTCGTCAGGTGATAAAATATATTGTAAGCATATTTGTTATCACCTGACGAAGTGTAGCAGCGGCATACGAAACGTTGTGATTTTTTAGATCCCTTTTTGACCATAAATTGCGAGACAAACGAATGTCACTAGCGATATCATTTTCGATACTATATCCGCAATGAGTAATATATTTAGCAACTACAAATTTGTTTTCATTAAACTACAACAAAATTAATGTTCTTACCCTCTTGATATCTTCCACACACTTTGCAACGTATTTGTTCTTGATTTGCATTCCAACAGCTAGAGAGTCACTCAGGATAAAGAGGTGTTCCTCTAAGGCATGTTCCATGTGGTTCTTAGGAATGGCTGGTAAGTGGGCCAGGTCCCAGAGCAGTTCCAGGACCTTGCAGGTGGTTTTAGGACTCCTGGCATCTCGACCTATCCTACCGATCAGGCTCAAGAGCTTCTCCTGCACACGCTCGTTTTCATTCTGCCATGCCTGAGGGTGTAAATGGACAAATCTTCTTTCTTAAATCTAATCCATACTAGTTCATACCTGTGTGAGGATCTTACTTCAAAAGGTTGGATAAGGAACTTTAGAATAAACTTCCAAAAATCAAGAAATACTAATTCTTATATTAATTCTATGTAAACATTTTTCTCATATGCGTATGTTCACACTATGCTATGTTTTTACTCTCACTCATTTCCCTAATTCTAATAATAGTGAAAAAAAGCTGAGAACCATGGTGTATTACATCCTAACCAATGTACTGTTATTGTTATCATTGTCGTTAATACAAGTTACAAAATGAATGGAGAAATATGCAATTATTTGGATCATCTTGACAATCGACAACTCAACAACTCATCAACTTTCAGCAACAGCTACAGAGCAGGGCATGTGTAAATGCAGTCTACATGCTGGATCGATTAAACCATGCACTATTTTTTTCAGTGTAGTCTATGGCTCAGATCATGAAGATACTGCACTGAAAGTGACAATGGTTTAGTCTGCAAACCAGTACATCCCACTAGATAGCGATAGTTTCGAAATTTCCTTTGATATCACTGACCTTTTGAATGAGATGGAAGAGGTGTTCCAGCTGCTCGCCACTGAACTTGACCGCTGCAGCTGCCATGATGGAATGGATGTTGTCCACTACGGTCAGTGGTTGGTCGTTCTAGATACATTCAAACACACACAGAGTATGAGCGTAAAAATTATACACATAGGATAAAGATGTACTGATGGCATCTCAGTATAGGTTGTACCTACAATCATGGTATGAACTGTAGTTAAAATCTTTCAACATGGACTCTCACAATAAATCATTAAATGCCATCTACTGAAATTGATGACATCAGCTTGGAGTCTATAGCAAAGTGTAGTATATAAAATTGAATTTTATCCAACTGCTAACAAGATATCCATGAAAATTTGCCTCACATTTTCATGCTTATTCTGTTCAATCGAATTTCGAATGAAAAACACAATAACTCTGTTGACCTTTTTAAGCATTACGATTTTTCTATTTGGTAAAAGATACAGAATCTATGAAACTGTGAAAATGAGGAAGTGTTTGCAGACCTCTGCATCAAGATTTACATAACCTCAAGATCATTATCATAATTAAACAGCATTGCCAATTTGATAATGATGTACTGACCTGCATCTTCCATATCTTGGTGAGATCTTCAATGGAGAGTTTTGGTCCTAGAAACTCAACGATGCCTTTCAGCTTGTCAGCATACTGGGACTGGTCTATATTACCTGTAAGAAATACAGACAAGATTGGTTTGAATGGACTAATCAGCATTGTGACATGGTCATGAAAGTAGCTCAACTGTTCATCTTTAGTCTAAAAATGACAGAGGAAGCATCCCTAAATGTTTGAAAATTAGGATCACATTATTGTACGATGAATATCAATGTTTATTTTCGCTAGAATAATAAGTATTCTATTCATACCATGGTACAAATAATCTCTGATATTATATCATTCTGACTGAAGAGTATATTCAAAGGAGTTCCATATCAATGATATCGCTCATATAACCTTGTTTCCCAATCATTGTTTGAACCAATCTCTTAACATGTAATTTTCTGAGAATGTTTGTGAGAACATGCTACATTAAATAATAATAATAATAATAATAAAATTTTATATAGCGCATAACACATAACAAAGTATGTCCCTATGTGCTTAGAAAGAAAAGCAAAGAGAAATATACGGTACCAAGTTCCTCTTAATTGTTTACAACAATTGAAATAAATATGTTTTCAGGGTGGACTTAAACTTATTTTTGTGTCTATTGACTACTTCAAGCGATTCAAATGGTACATTTCGTAAAAGAAATGAAGATAGCTACGTCATTGTTGATGTGGTGTGCAATTTTATATACAGGTATCCCACCTTCGAGTGCTACTGATAGAACTTTATTCTCCACCAACCAGTCCAAGATGACCTCTTCCTCAATAGCATTCCGATTCCTGCTGGATATACTTGTATCCTCGATCATCTTGGTAATCTTTGGAATGGACAGGTAAACAAAGGTTAGCAGGGGGTGTTTCACAAAGATGCTAAGTTGAACTTATCTCTAAGTTGGACTTAACAATTATGGAAAGCTGTTCGCATGTATGAAAATATTTTGTAAAAGTTATTTTAAAAGACATGTAATGTTGATTCATATCATTCATATCTTCTATTATCAAGAAGATTTCATGTTCTTGATGTGGAATTTATAACAAATCTAAAATACTTGAATTTTTCGCTTTTGAATATATTTTATTTTAAGGCTACAAATGGCTCTCCATAATGATAAAGTCCAACTTAGAGTTAAGTTTGACTTAGGATCTTTGTGAAAGACCCCCCAGATAAAATAAACATTATCAATTCAACTTGGTCATACATTTTTTTATCTTTAACAGTGCATTGAAGAAAGAAAAAAAAAAGTACACAAAGAAATTGAAATTGAGTCTTCCATAAATTTCTTGTTATATGATGACATACTTCTAAAATAAGGTAATAAATTAGTTTTTATAATAATTTTGAAAATCCTTATTAAGAATCAGTTTCTCTGTATCCCCTTCTGAGGTGAATCAATCAATCAGGAGTTTTTCTTTTCTTTTCTTCAGACAAATGTTCATCAGATTATTTATAATGTTAATACTATTTGAATGTTAATGTGGATAGATGCTGCTTATAAGTATCGGTTTGCATGGTGATTTATACAGTAGGCTTGCGGTTGCACAATGTAAGAGGGGGAAGATTGGGGAGTCCAGAGAATGAGTGAATAGTAATCTTTCTTGAGTTTATAGTTCTAAAGAAAACTATAATAGCACCGGTAGGAGAGGATGAGTGGTTGAGGTCCTATCGGCGCTATAGTTCTCTTTATAACTATAAACTCAAGAAAGGTTACCAACAGTTCATTTCAGGACTCCCTAATCCTCCCCTCTCACATAGTGCAACTGCAGGCCTACTGTATAAATGTGGATAGTGTTACAGAAACATTTAATCTCTTGGATACAGAACAAAATACACCTTTGATCTGTTTAAAGAATGCAAAGCAACATACCTCCTTGAGACTGTTCATCTTAGCATTGAAGTGAGGAGAGTTGAGCATACGCAGAGCCACGCTTAGTCTCAGGTCATCGACCTTCTTAACATCGTCTACCCAGAAGTGAAGGCAAAGACACTTCATGGTAGTCAGCAACTCAGAGATACTCCCGGTTTTCTGTCACGGAAGGATAGTAAGCATCATACAAGTTAGGATACAGCGAATAACAGTTTGAAGGCTATACAAAGTGTTGATACGATCATACATTTTGTAAAAAAATGTATAGTTTTGTTTGTTGGTATGACGCATGCTCCAGTGCCAACTGCTCTGGGTCATTTTTCTAAACTACTGTAACCAAATTACTTTATTAAAACCATAGACCAAGTGTTATACCCAACTAACCCTAAACCTAGCCCTAGACCTATCCTAAAATCCAATTGCAAACCTACTCCAAATCCTACAGATTAGTGGAGCAATGATTGGACCACAGTATATTCTTTCTTTCTCCACATATCTACTTTAAGACAACATCAATAACAACATTTCTCCAATAAGCTACGAAAGCTCACTGGAAACCTGTCCATACGCACAATTTTGATTCATTTAGTCATCTGGGCAATTTTCATATTTCAGCGATTTCAATGGTTGGGATGGTACTAATAATATACAACATTTGTTATGCGTCTTCGATCTAGTAAACTATTCTGAGGCGCAGAGGGATCCTGATTATTATGGTACTGACCTTTCTCTTGAGTTCATGTTCCTTGAGGTCCTGGACATACTTGAGGACCTGTTTCTCAACCTGACTCATGAAGGGGGCAAACTTGAGAGGGTTCAGGTACTCTCCACAGTAACCCAGCGGCTGCATCAATGTAGATAGAGTCTAGAGGAGAGAAAGAGAAAATGGGGAAAATTGACATGTGTAAGTGTTCAGGGAACATTACGAGGAGGCGTAATGGTTCATTAAAATGTAATAATCTAGAGGCTTCTTATTTTTCAAGTGTATATTTTTTGTTGTTGTTCTTTTCTTGTTGAAATGTAATTTGTTACGAATGTACAATCTGATGCTTTGTTCAATGTTCAAGGATAAAATGAGTTTGAATTGAATTGAATTGAATTAGCAGAGCAAACGTCTTGTAATTGGGAGATTCTGGGCTTGAACAGGATAAGGGTCATTCGGTTAAGCATAAGTTCTCATTTACAAAGCCCTTAGGATAATACTTGAAGGTCCACTAGTGGATGATTATATACTTGCAGGGAAATGATAGAAATTGTCATAAAACAGCCATACAACTCAAGGAGAGTGAAAAATAACAAGTTAAAGATATATTAGCAATGTAGGTATAGAAGATGATGAGAAGCATATCAGAATGAGAAAGAGAAAGAAAGAGAGACAAAGGGAGAAAAAGTTATAGAGAGAGAGAGAGAGAGAGGGGGGAGTGGTATGACAAGAAGGATGTATGAGATAAGAGAAGGAGAGTAAATGGGAAAGAGTGAGAAAGAGGGATAAAAAGAGGAAGAGAGAGAGAGAGAGAGAGGGGGAGGGGGGGAGTAGTCTAAAAAGAAAAGGAGGTATGGAGAGATTTAATACAAAAATAGTGAGAAAGGAAGAAAGGGGAAGAAGGGAAAAGAGGGGAAACACAAGAACAAAAATTGAAAAACCGGTTTAATAAGGACAAGCACAGTCAAAAGAATCGAAATGGGAGAAGAGGCTTCATGCCTTAACATCCTATCACAAATGATCTGTTTATCATACACATATAATAACATCTTCAATGCTCTATTTTGATGCAAGGGAGTTTAAAGAGAGTATAAATCTTACCGGAGGATCCACGTCATCTAACGATTCCAGTACTCTGTCTCGAATCTGATCCATACCTCCATGGTAAGCAAACTAGGATTATAAAAAACAAAGAAGAAGAAAAAGTGAGAATATTTCATATAACAGGGAAGTGTAAAATGAATGCACCACTCTAGCACTAAGTCGATAACAAAACAAGGAAAAGAGTCTATAATTTTAAAAAAACAGCTCAGTGACTCAGTCTGTTTTGATTCATACAACATTGCAGAACTAAATGTTTCACTCTAATGCAAGTTAACATTTAATAATTCTTTAATCTTAAGTATGTTGAATATTAATTTAAATTATTTGTATGCGCCTTGAGCATCTCTAGAGATGGATATATTGCGCTTTATAAATATTGTTATTATTATTATTATTATTCAACTCTATTCAAACTAAAATAAGTGATAAATGGATTATGCAATAAACTCATAATATTGAATTCTTTAGTGGACTAAAAGCCATAATTCAGACCACATCACAAAGAAACCCATCAAGACTTACAGCATTGATCAGATTGACGAGCCATCCACAGGGGTCCTTGTACGTCTCGAAGGGCGGGCTTACGGCGAATGTGCTGTTCACACCAAACTTCTCTTCCCAGAATATATGGTCCCATTTCTTGGCCCTGTTCTTATAATGGAACTCTGTCTCTGGGTTTAAGGCCTGAAGGGATAGAGGCAAGCAACAGTATAAGTACCTTTCTTTACAATACCAGAAATTGAACTTGGATACATTTTTGTCGAATTCTCTGTTGATGGTTCTATATAGCATTGGTACAATTTCTCAAGAGCCTAATTTTCGCATGCAGTTCATGCAGTACCCTTACCTATTTTTAAACTCAATAATATTATGCATCTGGATTAGCAGCTATCATTTATTAGTTTGTCATAGAAATTGACAATTTTTAGTATTAAGAAATAGTTTCCCTCCATGCAACTTTTTTTCTTCATATTCAATACATTTGATTACAAAGGTTATCAAGTGCTTCTAATATGAAGAAGAACAGCTGTAAAATGTCAACAACTTACGCCTAAGAAATATATTATCAAGGGCTCTTATGAATCAAATCCTTTTGAGCACAACAAGACCAGGATATCCATCCACTTATCTCATTTCCAATCAACACTTAAGTAACCAAGAAATACAACACATACCATGCCAAGGACCTCAAGAAGCTCTATGGGTACAGGTTTATATTTGAGTCTGACAGCCACTAGCTCAATGAAAAGCTGTAGCATGTTATAGATGCCTTCATGGATCTCAGCGCCCCATCGATGAACTGCCTTGGAAGTCATGAGCTTACGGAAAGCTTCAGGCATGCATCGGTTCACAAAACGCACGCAGTTCTCATCATTCTCCAGCAAACCTGGATAGAGAAAGTTTAAAAGTAATATTGTTAAACCAAGTGGAAATGGCTTGAGCTATATCTATCATGCTTTATAAAATAAGACATGGGTATGAACAGTTTCTCAACTTTTGTTGTTGTTATACAAAGCATTTGTCAAACATAAAGAATGATTGGAAATGCTGGCTTCTGTTCATACGTGCAACATGGCCATTTCAAACTTGCACTCCTACAACCATCTTGTAATCATAGTTTTGGAACTGGGATGTCCCATTTACATGTACGAAGCCAAAGTCAGTGCTGTTTTATCGGGCAAGACATGATTTCTCCATTTTTCAATCCCTTTCATATGGTACTGCTTGGTGCAGTCAGACATGTACCAAAACTGTGGGAGGAAAAACAATCAAGGCCATATTCAGATGTTCTTTATAAACACTTTTTCTCAAAGGGAACACTGTTCAGAGAAATCTATGACACTGGTCTTTAACTTTGTAGACATTAATCTTCAGAAAAATTGCTTTCTACTGCATCCTACATTCACTCCTTTTGGATTTAACAAAGCAGCATTTGTTTGTGTTGCTTTCAGACAAAAAGGGGGAAAATCTTCTTGTTCTTACAGTGACTAATTAGTATCAGTGTTTGTAATCTGTAAATTAAAGAAAGACAGACCTGCTGTTGGTTAAAGAAAGCCTGATTTCTTTAAGACAGGCTTCCTTCATTCTTGCTGTGTTGTTATTCATATATATGACAGACTAGGCCATGTTTTATTACACATTTCTCAATCAGGAAATGTGTAATGTGCCGGTCATGTGATATCAATGTTTACAGCATGAACCAAGCAATCTAATTACATACATGTAGAAACTTTATGTGATACCAACATCATATTTATAGATGATTAGTATGGGGTATTTTCAAAGTCTGGCCTTCAAAAATGTGAAACAGAAGGTAAAGGAATAAACTTGAACCTTAAGTTTCATTTTTAATAGCTCCTGAACTACAAAATTTACTAAAATAACCATGTTTTTAAAAGCCTCATTAAAAAGTGCATCAATGTTATTGGTTCACAACAGTAAATATTTCCTCATAGAAGGTATGTTTATTATGGTGCAAGTGTTTGAAGATTATACATCCTTCCAGCTTCCATGTTAATAACTCAAATAAAATAGTACACCAATCAATAATCACCTTCACTGGCTAATCTGGTGGCAGCGACCAAACATTTCCCCAGCGATTCCTCTTTCTTGTAAGGTATTGACCACTGGTCAGTGAAAACTCTGCCCTCCAGCTCGTAAAGATTTCCTTGAGGGAACTCCTTGGAAACTTCCACACTCTCCTCCTCTCTTGCTTCCACGCTGCTGGAGCTAGGATCTTCATCCTGCAAGATAGATGGTGTACAAATTAGCAATATAGAGGTGTCGTGGTCGAGTGGAAATGTCACCGGACTGTTGATCACAAGGTCGTTTGGCAAGACATTGATCTACATTTGCCACACTCAACCCGGGTGATGGGTAAATGGGTACCTGGCAGGAATTAATTCCTTGAGCGCCGTAATGGCAGCTGTGCAAAAGCCAGGGTAATAATCGGGAGCGCCAGGAGTGTCAAGTCTGACAGACATGAGCGCTATTACAAGAACCCACTATTATTATTATTATTATTACATGTGTAGTCACAGAGGCGTAGCAAGAGTCCAACCATCATCATCATCATCACCTTAATCATCATCATCAATTCAACTCATCATAATCATCATCATCATCGTCATCATCATCATCATCATCTTCATCATTACCACCGTACCCACCGCCCCAACACCACCACCACAATCATCAGCACCATCACCATCATCGCCACAATCATCATCACCACCGCCACCACCACCACCACCAACACCACCATCATCACCACCACCACCATCATAACCATCTTTACGATCACCTGTGCCTGGGAACCAAAAAGTAAACTGAATCAATAAACCCTCAGGTCTCTCCTTCTGGTATAACTGATTGGGATGTGCAGATGAGGTGATGAACCAATACACCAGGGTTTCCCCCTACTCTTAAATATGACTAGTGCAGTTTGTTTGTTTGTTTGTTTTTATTTCCGTATAAAATCATCACAACATACAAATACATACATAAATGAGATATACGGCGGATAGCCCATTTCAGGCGTATTAACAAAATACGCCTGTTCTTCCATGGGGTCCGGAAACAGTGGGTTCTTAACATGCAAAGGTGGTTACTCTCCTCTACACGGTTACTCCATTTAACATCCTATCCAAGGGCATATTTTCTACTCTAACCTAGCTTGCATCAGTGGAACAGCAGAGGGGCACATTAACATACAACACAGACTTCAGTCACCTGCCTGGGTTGGACTTAAACTGACAGGCAAATGCTTTAAAGGTGAAATTCAAAGAAGATCACAAATGTGCCAACTAATGTATCACTAGAAACTGGTAAGCTAACAGATGGCCATCGTACAAGTTTTAGGTCAACTACATATCGGGTGATTTATAAAAATACAAATACAACCACCTCCATAGCAGCTGGGATATACGAGAGATTCGCCGGAAAAATAATGATGTTTTGATGACGTCACTATATGGACCAACACTATCCTAGCCTATAATCTAGGCGGAGTGCCGAGCTTTTTTCTTTGCTGCTAGACTAACCTTAAGCAGAACGTCTGATACGGCGAGACTAGGAACCGTGAGCCGCGAAGCAGCTCACCACCTATAATCACTGGTCTAGCTAATCAATATTCATATATATTCAAAATGGCGGATCTATGAATCATTCAACAGCCCTACCAAATAAGGTACACCTATGTTACGTTCGACCAATCAGATATAAGAAACCGCAACGAAAAAAGATTGCGCTCGTCCATTACTAAATAGGGGTAATAAAAAGGAAGAAGGGGAGATGAAACAAAAAAAATCTTTAAAATGATCATTTTACTACTGTGAAATATCAAAAAATTGTAGTTTTATGTGAACAATAAAACATATATCTTTGTATGGTAAAACAATTATCGTATCAAATTTACAATGACAAATTAGTGGTTCCCCCTTGCTTTGAATGGACCACTAAATAGTCTCCTCACAACGGCAACGACTCGAGTCATCATGATCATAGAATCCGTGGTCGCGTAGAAAATCACAGCACAAGGGGATTGCTTGGTATATTGCACTCTTTCCAAAACCAGTAGGTAATGCAACAAAAATATCCCTGCCGGCTTCAATAACGCTACGAATAGCGGATTCCTGCAGTTCTCTGAATTTTCCATTAGGAATGCCTAGTTTGTTGGCCGCATATGATAAACTTTCTCGCAGAAGATCGTCGTCGCATGAACTACCCGCCATCTTGGATGAAGAAAATGACGTAATGTCACGTGATTTATAATATGCATATGCATAGACTCTTCTCCATACGTGTTTCTGATTGGTTGAGTTCATTTCGTATTCATGAGGTTTTTTCGTACGAAAAACTGCCACGGATTCATGGTCGATAATAAAAAAAACAACGACTAAAGCTAGACCAGTGATTATAGGCGGTGAGCCGCTTCGCGACTCACGGTTCGTAGTCTCGCCGTATCAGACGTTCTGCTTAGGGTTAGTCTAGCAGCAAAGAAAAAAGATCGGCACTCCGCCTAGATTATAGGCTAACACTATCCAAGCAGACGACATCCCATAGAGAATGAACATAATTGCAAAGCTATTATTTCCCAAATTATAATGAGTGTATATAAATGTAATGGCATGTCAAACCATTCAAAAGAGGATATGACCCGATTCTGACAACTAAAATCTTTTGCTTGTAAATACACAGGATAGGGATTAATTAACAATCAAAGAAACCAGACTTTCAAATTGAAAACCCCCCGGAATGATATTAAGGACGGCATTTGTTCCCTCTTGAAATGCCGAACATACCCCGATGTGTGCAGCTGAATATACAATGACGTCTTATTTTGTTTACAAGCGACAGATTCCTTTATTTTTGTATCGCTGCATTTTTCATCAAAATAAAACCATGCGTGCGTAACGGTAGTGAAGTAAGAGAAAGAACTCAAGAGAAGATGAAAACACAGGCACTGAAAATGTGTGAGATGTCATGGGACATCGTCTGCTTGTGCAAGTCATGTCCATACTGTGATCTCACACATCTCAGCAGCATTTGGAGAGAGCTCTTCCGGTGCTATGCCGGGGCTGTATTTAAGCATTTTGTAATTTATAATAATCGTTACTTCGAATGTTTCCAAGCATTGAATTTTGATAACCTTGTCGAATCAAAGTTTCAACTTTGCAATAATGACAATAAAGTTAGTTTTTAAAATCAATGAATATCTACTTTAATTACTGAGCCACCTCGATAAGCCTTTACTCATCAATTTCTTGTCATGGAGGGGAAATTAGCGTCGGAGAAGGGGGGTGGAGGGCACACCAGTCTAACTCTGAAAATGATATGCTATCTTATACGGAGGCCTCTGATTAGAGGAAGGGTGTGGAAGCCTGTCCTATTTCCTTTTGTACTTATCCCTTTCCCATTTCTCTCTTTTTATCCTGGACTTCTCCTTGTTTATGTGTCAGTTGATGGGAGAGGGGCAGCATTTTGATTGGAGAGGGGCAGCATGTTGATGGGGGAGGGGCAGCATGTGCAGTCCAACTTACAGATTGAGAGATTGGAGATTAAGATCTGGTGATGATGGAAAATAATTTGTGAGCTTTCATTCTTTTCTTATACTCATTCTTATACTGAAGGATATTATGGTACATGTTGCAATGCCTTATGAAAAGGGTTGCCTAGAAATGCCCTTCTACTTTTTTGTAATATGCCCAGAGATAGTTTACACATCTTGGATGGTAGTCTGGAAGCTCACATAAGTTTTCTCTACTGTAGTTAATTACTTAATTGAGCACTAAAAGTCCTCCAAATTGGCATTCACTCACTTCAGTCAGTTGGTGCTCCATAATCAATATTCTTCAAAATATGTCTTAAATAAAAATTACAAGTATCCTACTATCCTTCCTTGTTCATTTAGATATATAGCAATTAAAAGTGACAGATTTTGTGAACTAACTTCTGATGCTTGGAACCTACTCAATACTAGGATGCATTCAACAACAACTAAAACAATCATAAACCAAGTGTAGTTTTTACAAGGACAATACACATCTGACTCGTGTCTGACTTTTTTTCCTGAAAAGTTTCATGCCAAATTTGTAGTTACAGTAAAAGAGTATGTTTATTTACACTATTATAGCAGCAAGACTGGAAAACTTTCAAATACAAAACTGTCAAATACAAAACCTTTAAATATAGATTTATCTTTCCTTATTTCCCAAAACTCTCAACAAGTTCTTTTACAGTGTACTCACCCATCTTGACTTGGATTTTAATGAAGTGTAAAAAGACTTACAGTGAGTTAAATGCAAACTCAGCATGTTCAGCATTGGAAATTTAAAAGAAATTCTTCATTTGATTTTTGTTTCTGCACCCCTTTCTTTGAATTTAGTCATTGGGGGCAGCCCTAGCCTAGGCCAAATTCATAGATTTCATATTTCAGTCAATGTATCTTTTGATGGGGTGACCTACATGGGCAATTCCACGGTAACGGAATTACATTTCAGAGAAATTTGGGCTCTATTTTGATATACTGTAGACAGGGGGTTAGACCTAGGTGATTATTTATCTTTTTATTCTTTCTGTATTATGCACCTGGTAGCAAATCACATTTAAAAAAATTATTTTTCAACATTCGGAACACCCCAGGACCAAAAGTGTGTCGGTAACGGAATTACGGCAGAAAAATCAGGTTATTTTTTACACTAACTTTGAAAAGATTTCGTCTGAAATCTGCAGCCAATTAGGGGTGAAATAATGCTAATAAAGGGAGCTTATATTGTTGACTGTCCCATGGCAAGATTTTTTTTGGTGAAGTTGTCATGGTTTATCTATGCCGAATGGTTTTATGAAAGAAGGTAGCGGTAACGGAATTACATTAATGGTAACGGAATTACGTCTTCTGAAATAAGCTTGAAAAAAGGTAATTTTGTAAACATTATTTAGGCTTAAATTGTTGTTTAATTGTTTCAGGGGTTGCAATAATTGATTTAAACTACAAAGCAATTCATATGTGCACTTCATTTCTAAAAACTGTTGAAAAACGTGTCTTTTATATTGTTAAATAGCAAGTAAATATGACATTTCTGAGCAAATATTGGTGTGTAGTGATTAAATTTATGTCAATATGTGTTATCATATACTAGTTTACAACTAATTTTAATTTGGTTTAGTTTGCAAGTAGGAACATCACACAAAGTATGACAAACTACATATATTATTGCCCATTTGGCGGTAACGGAATTACACATATACAGATCACTTTTGTGACCATACATGACAAACTGGTTGTGAAGTCGCCAAGACCAATTTATAGAAACAGGTCAATAAACTCCACAGTATTCAATAGGAAACAAAGGATATTCAATTGTTTTATTGACTATTGTGAGGGCCTATTAAACTAGCAAATACCACATGCAATACATTATTTCAAAGCTTATTTTATGCAGGTTTGATCAAAATCGATTGAAAATTGCAACATTACAACCTGTTCGTCGTGGATGGTTACATTTAAGCATTCAAACAATTCCAAAACACTTAAGTGCTACTAATAATACTGCCTACACCCAACACAGGGATCTTGGTGTAAATTAAAAACAAAACACATGAATATTTATTTATAATGATTTCAGTCCATAAAGCCAACCACCAAAATCTAAACTAATTATATAAAGAGAGCTTAATATAGCTATCATTTTGTCAACAGCGTTTCAATAATATTTCACACCAGAATTTGTAAATCATTCCCCTATCTCATATTTCTGTCGAGCCAATTTTTCGACATTAATGGTAGAGCCTTAGAGGGAGCACTGGTTAGCATTCTTTTAAAATTAATTACAAACCTTGTCAGATGATTCCATACTGCAATTTCAATCCACAAAAGCTAGCACCCGATTCAAAACTAATTAATTAAGATAATGTCATCAACAGAGTTGCAATAAAATGTCAAACCTTGTAAATCATTACGCCAATTCACTAAATTGTTATCATTCTTTAATAGTTGGTTATTATTCTTTTAAAATTAATTACATACTTGATCAGTGTTCTTGAATTTGTTACAACATGTAACAAACTTGACCATTGTCATCATTCTTCATTCCAAACAGTTATATTTTCTCTGAGCGTTAGCAATCTAGTCAAAGGCGCCCTGCCACCCCCCTTTCCTTATGTTTAATACGTAGAGTATGGAAATTAACCGTCTGCAAGAGGGCTAGTCTGCTACGGTCGTAGCCATCTACATTTAACTTCTAATAAAATACATGTTTTTTGATAGATTAGACCTTCCCCTTCAACCTCCACCTTGTCATTTGTTAACGTATTTGCTCTGAGCGCTAGCGGACCTATACAGTAAGTTACCCTGACACCTTCCCTCAGTCCCATATGTTTTACGTGTTACGAGTCTGCAAAGTAACCGTCTGCAACGGGACTAGTCCGGTACCTGCCAAAGCCTTTTTACTTTTTATTAAATATTTTTCGCTAGATTAGACCTTGCTTTTTCAACCTCCACCTACATATAGTCATCGGCAAAGGTATTTTCTCTGTGTGCTAGCGGACTGATTCAAAGTCACCCCTCCCCCCCCCCCCTCCAATGGCCCCATCCATATAACGAAAGTGTCCGTCTGCAAGAAGACTAGTCCACTATGGTCTTTTATACATGTGTAGCCATCTAACTTTTAATGAATTATCCTTTTTTTGTTTTGGTAATTTACATGTATTGTAGACCTTGCTTTCCAACCTCCACCTAGCTGTTTTTTAGGGTGTTTTCGTGGGGTATTTTCTTTGAGTGCTAGCGGACATCGTCAAAGTCACCCTGCCCCCCCCCCCCTTTCCCTTTAAAAGTCCCATATGTATAATACGTAGAGTAGGGAAATTCACAGTCTGCAAGAGGGCTAGTGCGCTATGGTCTTAGCTTTATAACTTCTAATGAAATTTTTCTTTCTTTTTTCGATAGATTAGATGAGATCAGTGAAGAATAAAAATCAGAAAAGGCACTGTTTAAAATCGCAATAGGTGAAATAATATGAAGTATTTCCATGCTTAAATCAAAAGGTTTCATAAGAGATGTTGGTATTGCAAGTTCAGAGTGAATGAAAATAAACACATCTAAAATTCCCAGCCTAGTTTGTAGTCTTTATGCAAATTTGAAAAAAGTTTTTAAAAAATATTCATTGAATTTATCGAAGCCAGATCTTAGTCTTTAGTTAGACAGTTAATATAATAAGCCACTACTTCAAAACAAGGGGCAAAATCCATTAAAAATGTTGTAACACAGCATACATTATATGTACATGAGGCAGCAGGTCCATCTCTTGAAAAACGAACCACTCATTACTAATGCTGCTGCCCCTTGTAATTATGTTACCAATGTAATTCCGTTACCATGTAATTCCGTTACCAGTGTTTTGATAGGAAAATAAGTAGATACTTCTGAAATTAATGTTTAGGGCTGTTGGTAGGTAGATAAAGGAAGAGAATTTGCAACTTCAAAAAAAAAAAGTAAGAAATAACTTTGTGAGTAAAACTTCTTTCAAATTTTGGTAACGGAATTACGCCATTTTAAGGGTAAAATTGAAAAATCTCTCACACAAAAACTTTTTTCATTTTTTGAAAATAATTTGCAAATCTTGATTCCTATTTGTGATGTTGTTCAATTAGGAATAAATATAGAGGAATAAGTTTTAAATATATTGCTCCACTGAATTTTAAGAAATTAAATCATGATCATGTGATTGTGGCCCCCAAAATAGCCCCAACTTCAAATAAATTTTTCAGAAAAAACCGTAAAAGATATTTCCAAACGGTTTTCAGTTCCGTCACAAGTGATTTCTTGACCACATGGAAAATGTCAAATTATTGAAGTTGGATCAAATTAAGAATTTGGTGATTTTCCTCTTTCCCATACGGAATTGCCCACATACATGTAAGCTACTGTACAGTGTAGGTTCGCTGAGATTTTTAAAAATATTAGGAAATGTGATATTTGATCTATGATTTCTCATATTCTACACAAATACATTTAATCAATTATAACCAAATGGACGCAAATTGGTGCGACAGGAAAAAATTTAATATCGCAAAAGAATTCCAGAGACAAAATTCAATGTCAGATCAGAATACACTGCAACTCAAGAAAACGTCATTATAAGAAACGAGACCTCAATTCGCACACAGGAGTTTACAACGGATTCATCACTAAAAGCAATCAATCAAATATAAGATAATTGCATATTTGCAAAGTGAAATATCATACAAATCTCAAACAAAATTTCCAGACCCTTGGCGGTAATTTCATATTAATTCAGAACGGACGCAAAAGACTGTAAAATTTGGCAATATTTTGTCATAATTTTCAATAGGTAAGTGAAACTGAACACCCTGCTAAAAGAGTGAAGACTAACCATGCACAAGGCACAACTGATATACGGTAGAGTAACTTTAAAGGAGGGTGGAGAAGAAAAACAATGTTGTCAGATTTGGATAAATTTTGCATAATATAAAGAAGAAAGTCTTATACATGAAATAAAGTAAGTATGAAAGCCAAACATTGTTATCCAGCCAAAAAAATCTTCGTTTGAAATGACCGATTTGCAACTCTAAATTTTGTCCGCTGTGCAATTCTGTTTTCGACGTAATAGGGAAGACCCGCCGCTAAAAAGCCAGTTTATAGTTGCAGTCTGAGCATGAGAAGATACATGTCATTGCAGACCGAATTGTGAAATACATGGAGACAGAACACTGGATACATGCACATGAAAGTTATTATATGCACAAGCAGTGCACTCAATGACACAGGTGGAAGTATTCTTAGAAAAGGGCAAACAAAAGCTATCTGTGTAGCACCTCCATCGCTGCATAATATTATGATGGCATTGTGTCTTCCCTCTTACGTCACAGCCCTTAGGCCTTCACATTCTCAATTTGAGTCGCTCTTGGAGGCTTGTTTAAATGATTGTTTTTTAGTATCAGTGACAGTGGTGTTTTCAAATCATTAGGCCTAATTGAATCTTGTTTATGAAGTGTTAAACTGGCATAATTAATATTCTAAATTTGTTGAATTTCATTCAATCATTGATTGTAATGTTTTGCTTCCCCTCCTCTAAAAAAAACAACTGTGATGTCTGATTCTGAATTTCTGATGAATCAAATCAGAACATTATTTTTAGAAATTGACCTGGCTTGAAATAATTTGAGAAACCCTTTAACTTAAGATTACAACAACAACAACAACTAAAAATACCTCCACTGGTTCAACAGCTTCGTCATAGGAAGGAGGGGGCGGGTCGGGTGCGAGACGGTTTTGCGGTCCAAATGTCCGCCGGAGAGTTCCCGGTGGCGGTGCTTCCTTCGTTTCCTCCTCCACTGTTTCATAACTCAGACCCGGTTGTTCCTGCGTGAGAATCGCCACTGCCTCGTTCACGTCGTTCTGTGCAAGGCGGAGTGCTTTCTTGATATCTGTAAGGTCTCCAAAACCCATATTTATGAGCATTTGCACATTTTCTTCGCTAGGCTCCATTGTAACACTTCTAAGTTACAATCTCATCAACGGAATCTGTAATGTCGCTCGACTTTAAGACGAATAACAGTCTTAACCTATATTTGTGTGCCTTTTCATTATGATCAACTGTAGGTCGCCATCTTGAATGGGTTGGGTTCGATAAACTTTGGCGCGCTCGCGCATAACCTGCGAGCGCGCCGTGCGACTACGACATCATGTAGAAACAAGTGGAATCGCCTTTTCTGTGGCTGTGCATTTTCGTCTACTATGCTAGTACTCGTCGAAAGCACTATAAATCAGTAAAGTGGCACATTTTTTTTAATACAATTTTTTAACAAATGTAACCGACACTACATCATTTAGCATCTAAAACCTACCGATCAGAAAATGTTGTCGTCCTTTAAATTTCATCATCAAAGTTGTAGAGGAGAAGATGTCCTATAGCTCGCCAAGTTTATATCTTATAGCTGTGTAAATTATTGAAGAAGGAACCAGTAAACTACAAAAAGTAAAGCATTTTGAACGTTTTTTTTTCATAAAAATCTTCAAAAGAACCAAAAATTCCCTAAGAACATTGTGTCCATGGCCTCCCAACCAATATGTTATGCATAGCAGGTCAAAATACAAAACTATTATATGCACCGTAAAAATTATACTTTCTGTATTGGAAAAAAATGTATTTCTGATTGGATTAAATCTCAACTTTAAAACTTGTTTGATTAATTCGAGGGGGGGAATTTTCGAGAAAAAAAGGCTAAATAAACCTCGAAAATGGTGTAATTTTGACCGATGGATAGAACTTGTTAATGTTTTTTGTGGATGACCTGCGGTAGAGGCGGCGATCCCCCCCCCTTCCTACGGGGAACATTGCCCCCACATTTTTTCAAGTATCCCTTTTTACTTCAGATAAGTGCCCCTCTTTTCTTTCTAAAAAAATTGCCACTTTCCATGTCTGATAAATGCCCCTATTCAAATCTGGTAGGTACCCCTTTTTCCTTCGTAATAAAGCCCTTCCCCTTCTTATAAGTACCTTTTTTTTCTTTTGCAATAAAGTCCCTTTCCCTTTTTATTATGAATATTCTTTTTTTACCTCTGACAAAAATACTTTTTTTTTCTTTCTATGGCGCGTGCCCCTTTTCCTTTCTAACAATTGCCTATTTTTACTTATAATGAATGTCCCTTTTTTGGTATGGGAAATGCCCTTTTTGGTATGGGAAATGCCATATTTCACCTCGGTTAAATTCCCACTTAACTCGACACGAACCTCTTTTCTTTCATGATGTAATTTCCCCCTTGTTTACTTTTGTTAGGTGTCCCTTTTCCTTTCTATATAACTGCCCTTCGATAAATGACTTTTACCTGTTGTTAGTTGACCACTAGGTGTAATTAGTATACCGTACAGGCCCGTAACCAGAGTTTTCAATTGGGGGCTTCGTTTTTAAACGGCTAGGGGTCCAGGGGCAACGCCCCGGCGATAGTTAAGGGAGCAGAGCCCCCTGAAGCCCCTGGATTTTCATTCTTTTTAAGACCCAAAAAAGTTTTTTTTTTCAGGCAAGTTGGTTCCAAAATTTGTTGAAAGACTCAATTGTTTTCTGCCAATAAAAGCGCAAATAATTGTGAAATTCAGAAATACGCTCAGGTCTTTTTTGAAGAAAAAAACAAAGTGCAATTTTATGCGAATCGTTTCGCGCCTTAATATACAACTGTTGAAATAGGCATACTTTTCACAATCAGGCATATATTTATTTTTTCAATCAATTGGAAAGTTCAAACTACTCTCACTTCGAGGTCTGGGACCCATGTCCCACGTCAGCCTCATTCAAACATATAGGGCTTATAGTATAGATACAACTAACCTCTCCCCTTCTAAGCTTGCTCACATGTAGGCAACTATATCACAAGGTGCAGCCAGGTGCGGATCCAGGGGGCCAAGCGGGCCTTGCCCCCCCCCCCCCCCGCAAAAAGAAAGAGGGAGAGGGAGAGAGAAAAGAAGGGAAAGGGTTGAAAGAGGAGAGAAAGGGAAAGAAAGAAGAGGAAGAAGAAAAGAAAAGGGGGAAGAAGGAAATCGGGGGAACCGAAAGGACCTTGCCTCCCAGGCTGTTGCCCCCCCCCCCCCCCCTCTTCAACAAAATAAGAGAGAAGGAAGGAAAGGGAAAGAAAAAAGGAAATGATGAGATAAAGGGGAGGAAACAAAGAGGAAGAAGAAAAGAAAAGAAGGGAGATATTGAGTTGGAATTTTCCCGCTAACAAGTTGTGGATCGGGGGGGGGGCAAAAAGCCCTTATCTCTCTCAAGGGAGGTCAGTTGCAATTTTCCCCGCCAACAAGGTGTATATCGGCGGGAGCTAGGGCCCACTGGCGTACTGATGGAGGGGGGTTACAGTTGCCCCCCCCCCCCCCAAAAAAAAAAAAAAAAAAAATCAAATGTGGTATATTTATAATTCGATACCGGTGAATTACAAATGTTGCTGAAATAACATAACTTTCAAGATTTTTCCTCACTTTTTAGTAGATTATACTTTTGTATGCGTTTGTAGGAAAATGACAATTTCCTCATTTACAGCCGAGCAAGAAATATGCTTATATAGAGGCTTACATGTCAAGGCCCGCGGAACGGCGGGGCTCAAGGGCCTCGAGCCCCCACCGACACCCCCCCCCCCCTTCCCCCACTTTTTTGAAAAATGATATTAAAGAGAAATAGAATGTAAGAGAGAAAAAATAGTGACCTGCCAGTGTCACAAAATAATGAAGTATCGAAATATGCTAATCTGGCCGTCATGAATTGCCTCAAACCCTAAGCTTCCGGGGGCTCTACCCCCTGGATTCCACCTAAGGCCCTAAGGTAGGCCCCCTGGATGCTCATCTGAAGGTAATGTAATGCCTAAAACCCATGAGCTTTTGGGTGCTCCGCCCCCTGGACCCCACGCCAATACGTGTCCTACCAGTGTCACAAATAAGGTATTAAAAAATGCCCATCTGAACGTAATTAAATGCCTAAAACCCCTGAACTTCCGGTGGCTCTGCCCCCTGGACCCCATTTAGGGCCCTAAGGCGGACCCTCGGATTTTAATCTGACGAAAGTTTAATGCCTAAAACCCCTAAGCTTCTGGGGGCTCTTTCGTCTTCTTTGAGCATGGCTGATCGTCAACGAAACGGAGTTAAGTCTTTTGTCACATCTGTTTGTTGGTATGGCAGGCAACCAGTGAAAACAAATTCGTTCTATCAAATTATGGATACAAGCATTAATTTAAACAAACAGAACTTTGTTATTCCTGGCTCATTTTTCCTGATTGAGGTGTCATATGAAAGGTCAGAAAATGACCTTTCTCGAAATGTGATTTTTCTCTTTGAAATTCAGTTACCGCCCGCCAAATGACTTTTTGGTACCCTCTCTTCAAATTGTTTTTTATCACTCATGCATGAAATATGCAACATATGAGTTGCATCAAATGTAAGAGGAGGATCTAAGCTTTACAAATGTGTGTCATTTATTAATTATAATTGTGATTAAGTTATGATAAAACTTCGATAATTCTCGGTTTCGTTTTTTTCTGGGACGCACAGTATAGTACTTGCGTATGCGCACATGTTCATTTTCCTCGACGACATAAATATACGATTTATTTCGTCAACTTAGTCAGCATCGTAGCTCACCCTCGTACAAACTAGGGGACGGGTTCGGGGGTTATTTGCTCACGAGGGGGGTGTTGATTTTTGTTATGGTGCTCCACCCCCCCCCCCTTTAGCGACGCCCCTGCCCCCACCCACTTTGAAAAAAAAAACAGCAGGGCCTGCATGTAAGAGTGGGGTGATGCGGATTTTTTTTTTTGTCTGCCCCCCCCCCCCCCAAAAAAAAAAAAAAAAAAAAAAAAAAACGTTTTTGATCATTACGCCACTGCTGGTCACCACTGTGTACCAATATTAGGTCGCTTTTTCAAAATGGTTCAAAATTCTGCTGTACGCGCCGGTTTACGCGTTTAGGGTTATTTTTCTAGCCCTCGCGGGGGTCCAGACCGGGGGGGGGGGTAAATGGGTAATAATCGCCCTTTGGCAAAACTATACCGGCCGCCGCCTGCGCCTGCTGGTATGATCTTTAGTAGATCAAGATGGATGCCCTTCATTTCGACCCAGACCTACCAAGTCTCACGCCTATAGATATGTATTTCTCTTAATTCATGTATAATTAAATATTAAGATTAGTCATGTAATTTATTGTATAATTGCTGGTTGTAAAGCGCATCGAGAATTTATTATTATGCGCTTTATAAAAATTACTTTATTATTATTATTATTATTATAGCTGGTCCCTTATATTTTGTTTTGCATAGTAAAATAGTACCTCCCATTGTACACTGTGTACTTTTTGTAAACACTACTTCTTCTTTTTTTCAAACAAAGGAGTTGTGATGGCTGTGCATAAAACTCGTTTGGAAGTATACAGGTTGATATTATTGCCTCTCTTTTGAAATACATTGTTATATTGTGAACTTTACATCAGAAGCGCAATTTGATTTATTTCACATTTTGTAAACAACTTGAATGGTAATTCCTATCGCACTTCAAAATGCTCAAGGTGGTACAAATTTATAATACTTGTTTAGGGATACACGTTTTTGAAATATCAGTTTAGGGTGTGAAGTCAAGGGGGGGGGGGATACGCAAAATACTCATTTAGGATATATTTTGGCTTGAGAAGAAATCTTCGTTTAGGGGGTGTCTGGAAACCTGTGGTCACGCATGCTAACAGCATTTCTACATGACTGAGACCCCCGAGACATAAATATGGCAATTTGGAGGAAGGAAATATGTAACATGATCACGATAAGCAATAGCGTAGGCCTACAGCTTTCTTTTCCAGCAGAAGAATATTATTAGTCACACACTTGGATGTTGCCCACAAAATATTACAATAGGATATTATGTGGGTAAATTAGACTATTATATAGCATAAGTAATATTTTATCTATCTAATACAGTATGCCAATATTTCTGTAGATTGATGTAACGATGTGTTTGAATGGTCGCTCCAGTCAAGTTTTTCATTGATATAGACACCAAGAAACTTTGTACATGTCTTTCTCTCTATAGAAATATCATCTAGTTTATTATTTAGAGCAAGGTTGTCATTAGATTTTTTACCTCTATAATATATTCATAGAATCAT